TAATGCATAGCCACATGGATCGAGTTATGCTGTACCTAGTCATATAAGTTGAACCATACCTGATCACATTGATTGAGTTTTACCTAGTCATATAGCCTGAGTAGTTCCTAACCATATGAGTTGAGTTGTACTTGACCACATGGGCTTAGTCATACCTAATCATAAGGGTTAGACAATACATAGCAACATGGGTTGGGTTATGCCTAACCACATGAACTGGGTCATATATGGCCTGAGTCATATAAGTTGAACCATACCTGATCACATGGGTTGAGTTGTACCTAGTCATATGGGCTAAGTCATTCCTGACCATATGAGTTGAGTCGTGCTTGACCATATGAGTTTAGTCATGCCTAATCATAAGGGTTAGACAATACATAACAACGTGGGTTGGGTTATGCCTAACCACATAAACTGGATGATATATGGCCACAAGCGTCGGACTGTATATGACCACATGGGGTTGGGTCATGTTTAGTCATGGGTTGAGTTATACTTGATCACATTGGCTAATCTAGCTAGTCAACTTAACTTAGGTCATACCTTAATTTGACCCTTTTTATCAAATTAGATTTTACTATTTTCAGAAATATTATAAAATAATAATTAATCTCAAATTTATTTATTTTCCATAAATTAAATAATTTAGATTTAGATTCTAAACTTAAAACTAGTTAAATAATAGAATCTCACATATAATTTCTTAAAACATAATCATATATAATTAAATGAATTATAATTATTATTAAATTAGTTAATCATTCTAACATCATAATTCAATAATTATTATTTTTAATCATAAAATTTTAAAAATAAAAATATTATATAAATTAAACATATTATAATAATTATAATATCAAATATTTCAAACTACGAATTAAAACTAATAAATCCTCCCCTTTATATAGGAGAAGAGAAGATGAACTCTCCCTGAAAATAAAAAAATAATTTAATTTTTATTTTAGTTTCAAACACAAAGATAGAATTATAATATTTGTTTCTTATGATTCACTCAAAAAATAAAATTTAAACTATATACTTTCTAAAAATCCCATCACCAGTTAGAAAATAAATAAATTAATAATTTATTCGATTGACAAAATGTTTAACTTATCCACATGATTAAAAAATAATTTTAATTATACTATATAAATAAAAATAAAAATAATTTAAAAATAAAAAATACATAATTTATGATAATTTGATTTATTTTAATTACACACATCCCTTTCTAATTCTTGGGTTGCAATTTGCATCCTCTTTGATGTACACGATTAACCTAAGAATTTACATTGAACACCCAAAGATTCTTCACGGTTTAAATTTAAGCTTTTCTCATAATCTTCCAACATGAGAACTTGTGGTCACTTTCTTCTTAATATGACGTCTTACCTATCTCTTGTCGATTTGGTCTATTTCCGTTGCAAATTAATGATGCTATTCGACTTAGAACAACTGTGCATATTCTCCTCCGATCGTATCTCGCACATGAATGCACGTGCAAATGATGCATCATGTCCTCTAATTTTAATCCCCAACGTTTTCGCTGTCCGTAGGTCGATAGATAGAGAAAGAAAGAGGACCAAATTGAGATGGGGACTATGGAATCTTTAATTTTAGATATTATTATTATTAGTATTGTGTTGATGACGGCAACGAGATGGGGCCCAGCTATGGGGTCCACATGTCATGACAGCTCAGTCCACGGTGCGAGAACGAGGTGATAATTTTAGATATCAAGCTGGTGATGTTGCCGCCATCCCTGCTGACTCACTTACAGCGAAGACCTATGCCTCCGGTGGAGAAGACGAATCTATCGAACCCTATACGGTCTCGACCCAATATTAGTGTATTTCTCTAAGTACCTCTATTTTCAGAATTTTCTAACAACATTTCTTTTACCTAATACCTAAAATATTCTCAGCCACCTTTTTTTTTTTTCCCTCTCTTTTTCGATGAACTGATCCGATTGTAATATTTTTATATTATGATTTTTAATAATATTAAAAAATATTATAAATAATATCATAAAAATATTATATATATATATATATATATGTATTATAGTATTTTTGTACTACGTTATAATGGTTTTCTAACATTGTTGAAAACAAAGGCACTATGTTATAATATTTTTTACTATGTTATAGTGTTTTCCTAAGATTACTGAAAATACTATAATGTAACATAGAAACACTATAAATATAATATTGTTAAAATATTTTTTTGGGAAAGTACATCTATTTTCGGAATTTTCTAACAATATTTTTTTACTTAATACCTGAAATATTCTCAGCCACCTACTTTTTTTTCCTCTATTTTTTTTTATGTGAACTGATCTGATTATACTATTTTATATTATAATTTTAATAATATTAAAAATATTATAATATAATACAAAAATACTGTGAGCAATACCAGAAAAAAATATTGTAGCATAGTATAAAAACAGTATAATATTTTCCTAATATTACTGAAAACTAAGATATTGTATTATAATATTTTTTACTATGTTATTTTTTTCTAATATTACTGAAAATACTGTAATATAATAAAAAAATACTATAAACAAATTATTTTAAAAAATATTTTTTTAGTACTAATAAAAAATTATAATATAGTATAAAAACACTTTTGTTTTATAGATAAATCCATAGAAAAATAAAAGAATATTTTGGATATTAAATATAAAAATACTGTTTGAAAATTTATGAGGAATGTGTATATATTATAATGGTTAAGATGGTTTTAGTCCTAGACTACTTAAGTCTTTATGGTTTATTCGTATCTAAAATAACTTCTATATTTTCAAAAACATAACATATAAACTCCTCCCGTCAAGTTTGAGTTAACAAATGTTAGAATTTACTTACGTGATATGTTAACTCATAATAAATTATTAATATAATAATATATATGATTTAAGTTTAAAAAATAAATAAGATCCATTTTAACTTGTGGTTTCGATCGTTTAAATCATTTATAGTTTGTTTGTGTCTAAAATAATCCCATTTTAAAAAACATAGCATATAAGCACCTCCCATCAAGTTTGAATTAACAGATATTAAAGTTTGCTTACGTAGTATGTTGACTCATAATAAATTATTAATATAATAACTTATATAATTTTAATTTTAAAAAAAACTGAGATCACTATTAATAATGCGAGAAAACATCGTCGTAGAAGCAACCAACAGCAGTAGTACCGAGTTGTTATTGCCTAACAGGGTGTCATACGTACGTAGCCTCTCCTACACTAACAACAAGCATAGGAGCTTATAGTCCTGCCTCGGGTGGATGTGTATCAACCAGTTTGACGCTAAGCATGCAGTGGTCTATTGATCTATCTTTCTTCTTCTAAGCGTTTTCGTCCCCACAACCTCCCACTTGATTCTCTCTTATATCCCCATCCGTCATGCCTACGACGTGATGGTCTTGCTCTCCCTCATCTCCACCTTCGATCTCTCCTACTTCGTTTGTTGTTATGGTCTCCGTCGCTTCCTCTTCTTTGATAAGATGGATATTAATTATTTTTAAAATTTAATTATATATAATATTATACTAATAATTTATTATGAGTTAATATGGTAATATATTTTTGTTAACTCTTTATGGGAAAGACAAAGACGTTATATTTTTAAAAATATAAGAATTATTTAAGATATGAGTAAATGAACTTTTAGTTTATTATCAAAATTATATGAACTAAAATGCATCTTAATCCTATTATAACAGGGTTGTTAAGAGGTCAAGGTCACTGCAGAAAAGGATGTTGATGGTTGATGGCGAGTCTATATCAATACTACCACTCTTCCATGAGCATATTTGTCCTATTCATGCAGCTCAATTAGAAGAGCAAACTGCAGTAATAATGTGATGCAGTGGACGACCCCCGGTGGTGCACAGCTGCAGCAGCGTCTCTACTTTTTGGAGGTTGGTGGGAGAAGCTTCGTATGTGCTGTCCGATGACTGATATCTTATTGTCTGATTCCCCTCTCTTCCTGTTCTATCTGGGGTGCTGCCAGCTATTTTTACTTGTATATGAGAGAGAGAGAGAGAGAGAGAGAGAGAGAGAGAGAGGTTTGCTTCTGCTAGTTATTTGCTTACTTTGCTCCAGCTAACCTGGTAATATAGTCCCACAGTTGACTTGAGATCAAAGCTGAAATCAACCTGCAATTCTATCTTTTATCCATATATTTATGTGGGAGAAGAAGAACCAGTGTTCTCATCGAAAGAAAATTATTTCCCAGCTATTTTTGGTTGAGAGAGAGAGAGAGAGAGAGAGAGAGAGAGAGATGTGTGTCTGGTTACTGCATAGCTGATATGTAATAAGAACACTGGTTTTAAACTTAAGATCAAAGCTAATTCTACCATCAACAAAATAATGGCAAATCTTTATATATATATATATATTGTATAAAGGATGGGAAGTACTTAATGGAAGTAATTGCTAGATGTATCTCATAAACAAAGATATGTTTTTTTGCATGGCATCAATCAAAATGTTCTTTTTCGCAAACAAGTTCTTGGCTGCAGAACATGACGAACGAAACTGGAAGCGTGTTTCTTGGGTTGCGCATCTCTTGAAGCACACGTCCAAACCGAACGGGAAGGCGCAAACGTGATCGGAAGCCGCACCGCCTGACAGGCGGGTTCCACTGGGGTCCACATCCATCGCCAATCAGAAACGTTTGGTATGTGTAATTTGCACCAAAATAGTACCGAAACGAAGAATATTATTAGTGAAATAGAGAGTCGTCACCCAACTCCCACCGTCCTCATCATCAGAGGAAGGGGAACGGCATCGTCGAATAACGAGGCGGGTCGGCGACGGGTGAGGTTTCGGGTGGTAGGGAAGTGATGCGTTAAGAGAATATGGAAACGTTTTATCGTATGTTATCACCGAGCTCGGTATCGGTTCGGCTCGGCGCGAGCCAGCCGCCGCCAAGCTTGCGCCGTTCAGTGTCGGCGGGCGTCCTACATATAGCGACAACTCTCTCGGTGGAGTGAGGAGGATATCTCGAGGAGGAGAAGTCGAGCAAAAATCGGAGCCATTTTCCCTTCACTCCGTAGCTACGGCCCCCATGTCCGCAAGTTCTTCTTGAATCCAAGATTGTTGCTGCTGTTCCAAATCCGTTGAGCTTGAGGTTGGTCTCCTTTCTTTCTCTCCTCCATTTTTCTTCTCTCTTTTGGGTGAATTCTTTCGGGATTTCTTTGTTCCGTGTTGAAGATCTGGTCTGAACTTCGAAGCTCAGGATGAATGTGATGGTTTTCTCCCGAATTCGTTAGAAAGTAGGAATCTTGATTGCCTTTGCTGTGAGGAATCGTTCATGTAGCTTCCTTTCTTTGGGAAGTGTGAGGGATCCGAGGTTTAAGTCACTGATCTGGATGATCTGAGGTGAAATTGAGGAGTTTTGGCTTGGATCTGGTTTGGGTTTTCGGAACATTTTGGGATGTGTGAGGAATCCTTAGATCTGGGGAAGGCGATTACGGATCCCAACATTTTGACTTGAAGCGAATGCATGTGACTCGGATCTGGATCTTCGATATGTAAAATTGTGGGGCGAATGCTTTTTCATGAGTCTTCAGTTGATTATAATGTTTAATTGTGAGTGCTACCGACCAGTCCCATGGCCCATCCGTTTCATTTTCCTCGTTTAGACTAGTTCTCCAGTTATGTGGTTGCAGTGGGCATACCAATGTTCTGTCCGTTTGATTCTTCTTTTCATTGTGAATTGATATGACACCGCTTGTGGACACAGCAGGGTGCTCTATCTACTTCATCAGTAAAGGAGTATCGTAGTTGCAGCAAAGCTGGCGGCAACACTTTCTTGGAGGTACACAAGCAGCAATGGTGGCAGCCATGGAGCTGCGGATATGGTATTCCTCGTCTTTTTTATTATTTGAGCTCATGATTTCATTGCTTTCACAAATCAAAGAAACACTTTAAGATGGAACGATAAATTTTTTTTTTTTGAAAATAAGGAAAAACTGATACTAGGTAGATACCACTATCAAAATACCAAGAAGGAACACCAATGCTAGTTTGATTCACATTTCACTAACTTTACAAACTTCGATGGAAAGAAACATTTAAAAGATGTGTATTGAACAGTTGGACAATATAACTTTATGTGCCAATTCAAGATATTCCATGTTAAAAATCATATTTTACTCATTGATTATCTTTTTAATTAAAGTTGCAATATGCATCAATGTGTTAATTGTGAGGATTGCTAGAGATTATTAAATTTTCACAAGATAACAAATTAAGTTTTGGTATTACACTTGCATCATCAAAATGATTTTTGTAGTCATTTAGAGGAAGACATAAATTAGTTCATATGATAGAGAGATCTGCATAGCTGTTTTCAGACAATGCATGATGCTCTTTGTTCTTTTACTTGTAGTTTTGAAGTTCTTTTAATGCTCTCAGTGTTTAGTAATTTAGAACTGCTCTTCAGTCTTGTTTGATGTATATTCTAGTGTTACTATTGCTTCTGTAATCACAGGAAAGGAGTATGGATTCTAAAGTTCAAGATTTGGAGCCACCAACTTCAAATTCAGTCGTAAGGATGGGCTCAAGGTAATCATTTACTTATATATGTCTGGTTTGTATGTTGTTTATTAACTGATTCTTTCTTTTGCCAGGGTTTTCATGACCTAATGCATGCATATTAAATGACAGTTCTAACCAACTTTTTCATTGTGTCAATTGTTTAGATTTTCGATTTGTTTTGATGGTCCTAGGGAACTTAATATGTGACATATCTTTCTGTCTTTAGTGACCCTAATGAATAATGCTAACATGCATGTTAGTGACCAATATGTATACAAAAAGGAAAAACAGCATAGACAGAGACTTCTAAACTGTTCGTGAAGTTGTAAATTTATAAAAGATATTCAAAGAAGACATCTATCTTGTGATTGATATCTGGATGCTGTTTATCTTGGATCCCTAAATGCACTAGAGATGTCTAATCATATTTATTCAGATATTCTCCTATTATATGTTGCATTCTTATTATTGCATATAGTTGTGTATCACACATGATGAAACGGATTGTTTCACTCCTCTTTGCATGATGAAATAGCTTAAGGATACAGGTTCATGCTATGTGACAAGCATGTAAAAGAACTGCACAATGCACATGCTTGTATGCTGGCATCCCACTGCACCCACAGTACATAGGCCGTGGTATCGTATGCTTCACCAAATCCTCATTAGCAAATTATGCTATGATCTCACTAGAACTGAATGTGCTTTCTATCCTCACTGTGGAGTTGAAATTCCCAATACTGGGTGCCAATCAAAAGAGGAATAAGACTTTGTATTTGCATGGCATAGGAGACTGGGCAACAGACTAGCAGAAAGTCCAGGTGCCTTGATGGTTGCCTATGTCAAACTTACTAAGAAAATTCTCGTGGCAATTTTCTACTAATATTTAAATAGTAATTGATTTTCCTTTTATTTATACCAGTTATATCAATGTTCAAAAATGCAAATATATTACAGTTTGCAAAAATCATTATACACTATGACTATGATAAAGCAAGTATATAATAGTTCACTTGAATGTACAAGTGTGTATTGCATTGGTACATATATTCAACATTTTCGTTCATGAGAGTACATATTCATACACAAAAGATCCATAGTTGTGCATGTATGTGTATGATGGTACATGTTAGAATAGCCTAGTTGCCTAAATGATCGCCTATAATGCACCTAGGCATTCGCCAAAAACAATGGAAGAACCATTGACGAGAAAAAAAAGAAGATAATCAACTATATATTTGAAGAACAATAGCTTGATTCAGTAAACAACTTGCAGTACTAAATTGAGAAACCCAACATAACTACATGGTGTGTCAAATTAAGAAATATTGGATGCCCATACACTCTTTCTAGCAGAATGATCAATTGTAGCTCTACCAGAAATGTGCATGATAGGTTCTTCATACCTTATCAATGTTCAGCAATGAGAATGTTTGACAGAAAATGCAACTTGTTTAAAAAAGTGCAAACAGGTTTGGAAAAATCAGTTCTTAGGTATGAAGCTTACTATTTATCTCAAGTTGTGTATGATTATTGTAATGTCAGAAATAAATTATATTTTCCAGAGTAATTGGAAGCAAAAAGTTAAACCTTGATTCTTGAGGGAGGGCATGTTGGAAGTGTCAAAGCAACAATGCCCGCTGGTGTTCCAGAAATACCTTTTCGGAGTTTTGGAGAGGAAGATTCTATTTGGGTTGACATATAGTGTCACGTTAGACATATTGGGCAATATGGAATTTACCTGCTCTCCCCAATTGAGATACCCTCTGTTTCACCCAAGATATATCGAGTGAACCATCAATAATTGGGATCTTGAAGCGCAATTAGATAAATTATTCAAATTGGGGATCAATATTATTAATCAAGAATATTATAGTTGACTTGGCAAAATCAAAATAAAGTATCCAGAATCACTCAAAAAATACCAATTTGGCAATATCTAATATATGATTACCACTTGTATCGTATGTGCAATGGTGTAAAGGGCCACACAATATTCCTTGCAGGATCTGTAAATACATTGTAGCTATAGGTTTAAAATAAGTTGCAAGATGTGCTTGATTGAACATAATGTGAAATGACATATATTATTTAAATAGAAATGCCATATTGACTTAATTTCCAAGATCAATGTGGATAATTTGAAGTAGAGAAGATGGCTATTACTAATGTATAATTTGCTCAACATAAGCAATCATATAGAAGCACTTACTGCTGGTCACAAATGTCAATATCGGTGAGTCATAAATCATGTGGCCTTTTGAACAGGAAAATTTTCAGGACGGGTTTAATCATGGTTTCACCTTATTAGGTTACATGCTGAATCTGAGAAGGCACAATTACTATTATGAAGAAAAGATATATCAGAATAAAGTCAGATGCAGTACCGGACGGGAAAAATGAACCAGAAGAAATAGGATGATTGTTGCTTAGTAAATAAGATTTGACAAAGTATCATAGAGACAATCGCAAAACAATCACAAACAAAACACTACATATTGAACATCCATGACTAAAATTTTTGTTGTTTGGATTTTGTGAATTCTATTCTTGATTCAATGCAAATTATGAAAGATGAACATAAACATCTCATATAAAAAGCATTGTCTTACTTTGTTATAGTTCTCTGATTTTCATATATAACACCATTTAGTTACCTACAGGAATCTAAACTTTTGGTTTATTAGTGCAATTTCATTATTTGACAAATTACATTTATCTATAGCTGGAAATGTAAAGCTGTCTGACTTGTTGATGGATTATTGATATATTTATAAATTATAAGGAGGCAAAAATTACATGCTCCTTTTCATTGGCACTACATGTTGTCATCCTTTAAGACCAGCAGTCTAAAAATTAGGTTATCCTTTGAGATTACCACTTGGTCCTTACAGGCTACATGCAGATTAATGGCTGACTACCAGAATTGTGTTATAAAATCTTATCACAATTCTATAACATCTACAACTGAAATCATTTTCCTCTAGATTGGAGATACCAAGAACAAACAACATATTAAGTAATATTAAGAACACTTGTGGATTTTTAGTTTGATACGACCCTGTGAAATCTTATATGGAATTTGTTGTTGCAGCTTCCATCTATTCCACATAACACATTTTGCTGCCACATCACTCACCATTTCTGCCTCTGTGAGAGTCAAATCTCCAGTCTCCATCACACTAGAATTTCCATCAATTCTTTTTCTGCTGGCATTTAAATATGACCGCCAGATAATCTTTTCTGCAATCACACTTCTAAATGGTTGAACCCAGTGCATCATGCGCCCACCAATGCTAGTCTAGGGAGAGTTAACATACGTAGATTTACTTCTACAAATAGAGAGGTTGTTTTCATGACTCAAATCCTAGTCAACTTAGGTTGTGAAGAAGTAGCCTTGTTGGTTCCTACAATCACAGTCCTTTCCTATTTTTTTGTAATCTTAATGTATTAAAACAAGAACTATTGATTTTCTACATATAGCAAAGGAGTTCGCTGAGTTGGCATAATTGGGCAAACTTGTCCCACTATAGATTTGTCATACCCATATTTACTGTCATATGCATGAATAAAATATATAATATAACTTAATAGAGAAGCATTACAATATTTTCATTTTGTTGGATTCCTAAAGTTTGGTTTCTGATGCAGTCCTTGCATTTGTGATACATGGAGATATTGTCAGCAAGAACAAAGGATTAGTCAATTGTCCAGTGTGAACACTAATCAAGCTAATGAATTGTCTAAAGGTTCAAATCAGCCAGTAATGTTGAGTTTGTGATTGTTAAAGGTTGAAAGGCACATGTGTCTACAATCAGATAAATATGTGCTCCACTCACCAAAAAATGTAATGGTTATTCAATATGTTCTAGAGGAGCATGTCAAGTGTCAAGAGCAACATTTTGAAAAACACATTGGCTTGATCAACTAGTCTAGTTAGTAGTTACACAGAGAAAGTTTTCATTCCATCATGATACTTGGCTGTTGGTAATTTAAAGACTAAGTTTCTGATCTTAGCACCTTAAGGGTGACCTTATTCAAGCAGGCCAATGCATTGTTAGCTATTTGTTGGTAAATATCACAACACAATAATTACATTTTATTAATACTTGATCTAATGGATTTAGGACACTACCAGGGTGGTGTACTGACTTAGGACACTACCAGGTTGGTGTGCTGACTTGTACTTGGCCATACTTATTGGTCCAACCAGTATTTTAAATTTAAACCATGCTTAATTTATCTCTAGTAAAAATAGCTTAGAATGTTAATCTTGACAGCATTATAGTAATGCATCTAGATAATTTTGTTCACATTCAGGGACCGTAGTGGCATGGAGGACCCAGATGGAACGGTGTCAAGTGTTGCTCAGTGCATAGAGCAGTTGCGACGGAGTTCTACAACAGCTCAAGAGAAAGAGAACTCTTTGAAACAGCTACTAGATCTTATTGAAACACGTGATAATTCTTTTGGAGCTGTTGGGTCACACTCCCAGGCAGTTCCAGCACTTGTTGCTCTTCTGAGGTCTGGTTCATTAGGAGTTAAGATGCTGGCAGCCTCTGTTTTAGGATCTCTTTGCAAGGAGGAAGAGTTACGGATAAAAGTGTTACTTGGTGGATGCATCCCTCCGCTGCTTGCTCTTCTAAAATCCAGTTCGGTTGAGGGCCGAACTGAAGCTGCAAAAACGATTTATGCTGTTTCTCAGGGTGGGGCAAAGGACCATGTTGGATCAAAGATTTTCTCGACCGAAGGTGTTGTTCCTGTCTTATGGGATCAGTTGAAAAACTTCCCTAGAAATGAAAATATGGTGGATAGTTTGCTTACTGGAGCATTAAAGAACTTATCCAAGACAACTGAAGGATTTTGGTCAGAAACCATAAAATCCGGAGGAGTGGATATACTTATAAAGCTGGTTGCTTCTGGCCAGACAAGTACCCTTGCAAATGTCTGCTATCTTCTAGGATGTCTAATAATGGAAGATACATCAGTTTGTTCTCAAGTCTTGGCTGCAGAGTCCACCAAGCAACTCCTCAAGTTGCTTGGACCTAGTAATGACTCCCCTATCAGAGCTGAGGCTGCAGGTGCACTTAAATCACTTTCTGCCCAGTGTAAGGAAGCCCGGCACGTGATTGTTAATTCGAATGGTATACCTTCTTTAATAAATGCAACTATAGCTCCGTCGAAAGAATTTATGCAAGGAGAATCTGCTCAAGCATTGCAGGAAAATGCAATGTGTGCACTGGCAAACATATCTGGTGGCCTGTCTTCAGTTATCTTCAGCCTGGGTGAGAGTCTTGAATCATGTTCTTCACCTGCACAGATTGCTGACACACTGGGAGCTTTAGCTTCAGCTCTAATGATTTATGACTTAAATGCTGACTCTATGAGAGCATCAGACCCTTTTGTCATTGAGGAGATACTGGTAAAACAATTTAAACCAAAGTTTCCATTTCTTGTACAGGAACGTGCTATTGAAGCTTTAGCCAGTTTGTATGGGAACAGCATTCTGTCAAAGAAACTTACAAATTCTGATGCTAAACGCTTGCTTGTTGGTTTGATAACAATGACAACAAATGAGGCTCAAGATGAACTTGTTAAATCTCTTCTCATCCTCTGTAACAAAGAATGCACTCTATGGCATGCATTACTAGGCCGGGAGGGGGTTCAGTTGTTGATATCTCTTCTTGGTCTCTCTTCAGAGCAACAGCAGGAGTGTGCAGTTGCTTTGCTTTGCCTCTTATCTAATGAGAATGATGAAAGCAAATGGGCTATAACTGCTGCTGGAGGAATACCACCCCTTGTTCAAATCTTAGAAACAGGATCATCAAAAGCCAAAGAAGACTCTGCAACAATCCTTGGCAACCTCTGTAACCACAGTGAAGACATACGAGCGTGTGTTGAAAGTGCTGATGCTGTTCCTGCTTTATTATGGCTGCTAAAAAATGGAAGTGATAATGGAAAAGAAATTGCCTCAAAGACATTAAATCATCTCATTCACAAGTCAGATACTGGGACTATTAGCCAGCTGTCGGTTCTATTAACAAGTGATCAGCCAGAGTCCAAAATTTATGTTTTGGATGCACTGAAAAGTTTGCTTTTGGTGGCACCCCTTAATGACATCTTGCGGGAAGGAAGTGCTGCAAATGATGCTATCGAAACCATGATAAAAATCTTGAGCTCCTCAAGGGAAGAAACTCAAGCCAAATCAGCATCAACCCTTGCAGCTCTGTTTCATCGTCGCAAGGATTTAAGAGAAACACATGTTGCTGTGAGAACTCTTTGGTCTGTCATTAAACTACTAAACGTGGAGTCTGAAAAAGTTTTGATGGAGGCTTCGTGCTGCCTTGCTGCTATCTTTCTTTCGATCAAGCAAAACAAGGAGGTTGCTGCAGTTGGCAGAGATGCATTTGCTCCACTGATGCTGCTTGCCAATTCCTCTGTTCTTGAAGTGGCAGAACAGGCAACACGAGCTTTGGCTAACCTTCTTCTGGATCATGAAGTTTCTGTGCAAGCAATTCCGGAGGAGATAATCTTGCCAGCTACACGAGTACTGCAGCATGGCACAATGGATGGCAAAACTCATGCTGCAGCTGCAGTTGCACGGCTTCTCCAAGGTCACTCTGTTGATCAAGCTTTGGCTGACAGTGTTAACCGTTCTGGGACAGTTCTTGCACTTACTGCCCTTTTGGAGTCTGCTAGTATTGAAAGTGCTGCTACATCAGAAGTTCTTGATGCTCTGGTCATGTTGTTAAGGTCAAAAGGATCAGCAGAGCATATAAAACCTCCATGGGCAATTCTTGCTGAACACCCCCATACAATAATCCCTTTAGTTTCCTGTATAGCTGATGGAACACCTTTGTTGCAAGATAAATCTATAGAAATCTTGTCAAGGCTCTGCCATGACCAACAGTCTGCATTGGGTGCTGTAGTACTTGAAACCTCAGGATGTGTGCCGTCAATAGCAAAAAGAGTGATTGGGTCAAATAGCTTCAAGGTTAAAATTGGGGGAGGTGCTCTTCTTATTTGTGCTGCAAAAGAGCAGAGCCAAAAGCTGATGGAAGCCTTGAATGAGCCAAACCTATGCACACATCTAATTCATTCTCTTGTTGGCATGCTGCATTCCACAAATTCTTCTATACACCAAAGAGATGGTCAAGGCAACATGGATATAAGCATTTCCAGGCATTCTAAAGGGAAGATGAGGAATAGTGAAGCTGAATGCAGCACAGCTATCATTTCTAGTAACATGGTTGCCATATGGTTACTTTCTGTTTTTGCTGCTCACGATAACAGATCTAAAGCAACAATAATGGAAGCTGGAGCAGTTGAAATTATCACAGATAAGATATCTCAGTACACATTCCCATCTATACAGGTAACTTAACAAATACTTTTTGTGGATTATTTCCTTATTACTGAGGCTGTGGACCTTCTTCAGTATGTCGTCATTTGCATTTATAATGTATGTAGCCCTATGGTTAATGTTGGAAGTTATTTTAATTTTGTTAATATAAAATTTTGCAGAGTGATTCTAAAGAAGATAACATTGCATGGGTTTGTGCTTTACTCCTGGCTGTGCTATTTCTAGACAGGGATATAATACGATCAAATGCAACTATGCATTCTATTCCAGTGCTTGCAAGTTTCTTAAGATCAGAAGACACTGTAAACAGATATTTTGCAGCTCAAGCTTTAGCAAGTCTGGTCTGTAATGGCAGCAGAGGAACACTTCTCGCTGTTGCTAATTCTGGGGCAGCTAGTGGGCTTATATCTTTGCTTGGATGTGCTGACAGTGATATAGCTGATCTTCTAGAATTGGCAGATGAGTTCTTTTTGGTGCAGAATCCAGAGCAAGTTGCACTGGAGAAATTGTTCAGAGTTGATGACATAAGAAATGGTGCAACTTCTAGGAAAGCTATACCAATACTTGTTGACTTGCTCAAACCCATCCCAGACCGGCCAGGTGCACCTTTTCTGGCATTGGGCCACCTAAAACAGCTAGCAGTAGACTGCCCATCAAACAAGCTGGTAATGGTTGAATCTGGGGCTCTAGAGGCACTGACCAAGTACCTTTCTCTTGGTCCACAGGATGCAACAGAAGAAGCTGCCACAGATTTAATGGGCATTCTGTTTGGCACTGCTGAAATACGGCGACATGAATCTGCTTTTGGTGCTGTTAATCAACTTGTGGCTGTCTTACGTTTGGGGGGAAGAAATTCCAGATATAGTGCAGCTAAAGCACTGGAGAGCTTGTTTCTTGCTGATAATATTAGGAATGGAGAGTCAGCTCGGCAAGCTGTTCAACCCCTTGTAGAGATTCTAAACACTGGTTTAGAGAGGGAGCAACATGCTGCTATATCTGCACTTGTTAGGCTTCTCTGTGACAATCCATCGAGGGCCCTTGCTGTTGCAGATGTTGAGATGAATGCAGTGGATGTCCTTTGCCGGATTCTTTCTTCAAATTGTACAGCAGAACTAAAGGGGGATGCTGCTGAATTATGTTGTGTCCTTTTTGGAAATACAAGAATACGGTCTACCATGGCTGCAGCACGCTGTGTGGAGCCTCTGGTTTCTCTATTAGTAAGCGAGTCTAGTCCTGCTCAGCATTCAGTGGTTAGAGCATTAGACAAAGTTTTGGATGATGAACAATTGGCAGAATTAGTAGCTGCACATGGTGCTGTTGTCCCTCTTGTTGGTCTGCTATTTGGTAAAAATTACAGCCTTCATGAGACAGTTGCTAGAACCTTGGTGAAATTAGGAAGAGACAGGCCAGCTTGCAAGTTAGAAATGGTAAAATCTGGAGTTATTGAAAGCATGCTCTCCATCCTTAATGAAGCTCCAGATTTTCTCTGTGTTGCATTTGCCGAACTGCTTCGAATATTGACCAATAATGCTAGCATTGCTAGGGGTCCTTCTGCAGCCAAAGTTGTGGAGCCACTTTTCTTGCTACTAACAAGGCCAGAAATTGGTCCTGATGGGCAGCACAGTGTGCTGCAGGTTCTCATTAATATATTAGAGCATCCTCAATGTCGATCTGATTATCATCTGACACCTCAGCAGGCTCTGGAGCCAGTCATTGCATTGTTAGATTCGCCCACTCAAGCAGTGCAACAATTGGCTGCAGAACTCTTATCAAATCTCCTTCTGGAAGAACACCTACAAAAGGATGCAGTCACAGAGCAAGCAATTGGACCTCTTGTTCAACTTCTTGGATCAGGTGTTCCCATTATACAACAAAGAGTAATAAAAGCTCTTGTTAACATTGTATTGATCTGGCCAAACACAATTGCAAAAGAAGGTGGTGTTTATGAGTTATCTAAAGTAATATTGCAAGTTGAACCTCCTTTGCCTCATGCTATATGGGAATCAGCTGCTAATATCTTATCCAGCATTTTGCAATATAGTTCAGAATTTTTTTTGGAGGTGCCTGTGGCTGTTCTAGTGCAACTGCTTCACTCTGGAACAGAAAGTACAGTTGTTGGTGCATTAAATGCTCTCCTTGTCCTAGAAAGTGATGATTCAACCAGCGCAGCAGCAATGGCTGAAAGTGGTGCTATAGAGGCACTGTTGGAACTTCTTAGGAATCATCAGTGTGAGGAAACTGCAGCAAGACTATTGGAAGCATTGTTAAACAATGTAAAAATTAGAGAAACTAAATCTGCTAAATCTGCCATATCACCATTATCAATGTACCTTCTAGATCCACAAACACAATCCCAGCAGGGGAGGTTGCTTGCGGCTCTTTCTCTGGGTGATCTTTTCCAAAGCGAAGGTCTTGCTCGAAGTGCTGATGCTGTTTCAGCATGCCGAGCACTGGTAAATCTCCTTGAAGATCAACCAAGTGAAGAAACAAAGGTAGTGGCCATATGTGCTCTGCAAAACCTTGTCATGTACAGCAGATCTAATAAGAGAGCTGTTGCCGAAGCTGGTGGTGTTCAAGTTGTGCTCGACCTGATAAACTCCAGCAATCCTGATACATCTGTTCAGGCAGCAATGTTTGTTAAACTTCTCTTCTCCAATCATACAATACAAGAGTATGCTTCTAGTGAAACTGTCAGAGCAATTACTGGTAAGTTCTTAATACCTCTTTCATAACCAGTAGAAGCTGTGTAAGAAATTTGTGCAGATTTGAATGATGAACATAAGTTTTCATCATCTTTCTCTACACTAGCTAGGTGCAACAGAGTCTATTCATATTTCATTTTGATTTTGGATAATTTGTAGCTGATGAATAATGCTATTTGATTTAGTACAAAACCTGTGATTGGTTAGAAAATTAAAAAGAAGAGAAACAAAAAAATTTTGCAGAGAGATGAATATGTTGATATGAATGTCTAATATTATCAGGAAAAATAGAAAAACTCATTTTGCAAATCATGAGAAGTTACAAATAGTATTGTTGATGATAAAATGAAGAATATCAGTATTTTGGATATTTCAAAACAAATGGTTAAGTAGGGTTCATAATTACAAGTTAGCAGTGATGGAAGAGGACTAGGAAGGCTAATGCAGAAAACAACAAGAAAACATGTCATCTTGGGTTAAATGAAGGGGAAAAAACCTTCATTGCTGACACTAAATAATTGTGGACAGTATAGTTGTTAATTGTGAAAATGTTCTTTTCAGATATCATTCTATTGTTGCTCTAAGAAGCCTTAAATTAATTTCTCATATCCTCATCTCCTGCTCTGCTTGTGGCAGATCCATGAACTAATTTGCAAAATATGATTAACCCTGATTTTGATTATTAGAGTGAAGTAGTTTTAAGATGTGTTGCTTTTGACTTGTATAACATGAAAACAAATATTGTTTGCTGGGGTCCGTCGATGTACAACCAGCTGTGTAATTCATTTTAAGATGCAAAATCTCTAGATCTGCATCTCACGTGATATCTCCTCTCTGATTAGAGGGGTTGCCTCATCAGGGCTAGGCAGAGTACGTATATGCAAGTAAACCACTTTAACAATTTCGCGAGCCTTAAAAGTGAATCTGAGAGCTTTCCATTCACTGTTCTTGCAAGAGGTTCTATCTATAATGACCATACCTTTGGTAAAGCAATGCTTGTCGTGTTTCTTTACATGCTATAATATATGCAATTTTTTTTTTCAATGAATAATGAGTCTTTTACCTATTCAGCTGCTATTGAAAAGGATTTATGGGCCTCTGGAAGTGTGAATGAGGAATATCTAAAAGCTCTAAATGCACTTCTTAGCAACTTCCCTCGTCTGAGAGCCACTGAACCTGCTACATTGAGTATTCCCCATCTGGTAACATCCCTCAAGACTGGCTCAGAGGCAGCTCAAGAAGCATCACTGGACTCCCTGTTTCTTTTAAGGCAGGCATGGTCTGCATGCCCAGCTGAAGTTTTCAAAGCTCAATCAGTTGCTGCATCGGAGGCTATTCCTTTACTGCAATACTTGATTCAATCTGGTCCACCTCGGTTTCAGGAGAAGGCTGAACTACTTTTGCAGTGTTTACCAGGGACACTAACTGTTACAATAAAACGTGGGAACAATCTGAAGCAGTCGGTGGGAAACCCCAGTGTCTTCTGCAAACTCACGCTTGGTAACAATCCACCTAGACTAACAAAGGTAAGATTTAATAATTAGCAAAATTTACCTTCTGCAAATGCTTTGGATAATAGTATTGCCATCCTTCAGGTTTCACAAGTTCAAGTTTTACACGCTGAAAGCTTATTTCTTTTCTGCTTCTTGAGCATTCTTTTGGCATATTCATGAACCAAAACAGAGTCCCATGGTCCTCTGTCCACTTTCTTGGTCCACTGTCATCATGCACATAACTTTTGTGGTTCCCTTTTCATTTAACTCGATCCTTTTTATAACACAGTTTCGGTTATATAGGTTGTTTATCGAATGTACATCTATAAATCTTTAATGTTCGTGCTTTTGATTTGTAATATTTGATTTATTAAAATAAAATGGTCTAGAAGTCTGCATCTTGTATTCAATAATTTATGCAAAGAGTTTAGTGTCATTGTTAAAGCATTGGTGAAATAAACTACAGCATTGACATTCAGCAACGCTTGCAATGATCACAGACCTTCATCAGTGCTTTGTGTATAACAAACGCTTGTGGGATCCTTTATCAGTACTAAATTAGTAACTAAAGTCAGGTGCAAAAGGGCAGATTCAGAAACATGATTAATTCAATTTTCTTGGGAACATTTCTCTATTTGTTTTTGTAATGAGCTGTGGATAGTGCTGGGGTTAGAATGATGATGGAGATCATTTAACATTATACAAGCCTGTCCAGTATTCTATGTAGGCAGGGTACATTGCTAATCAATCTTAATCTGGTACTGTTCCTTTAATGTTGCAACCTCATCTTGAAGTTTTATAATTGTTTACCGATACTGCATGATCAGCAAATTGTCAACACAACCATCTTGAACATTTTTTTACTGGTGCAATAGGGAGAGCTGATTCCTTGTGCTACTCTTTTGCCTTTGGAATATCAAGGCCTTGCAAGTCTATCTTGCACACAAAGTTGTCTCCTCCTGAATGTTTTGTTCATTATATTTCTTAGGAATTATGTTCTTTTCCTAGAATCTTTTAAGATGGTGGTCCATAGCAAGGAGTTGCTACACTAGACCTAGGATATGTTGCAGGACTAACTAGAAATGACCGGGTGGACCTTCCTTGTAATATGAAATTAATAGATATGAGTTATATGACTTCTCCATGAGCTTGTGTATAGCGCATGATGAATAACTTTCTGGCTTCAAAAATTCTTGTCATGCATGTTGCATACCACAGCGATAATTCTTGAATTTGATAGAGTTAATGCCATTTGCTGCTGGTCAGGTTGTATCAACAGGCCCTACACCTGAATGGGACGAAGCTTTTGCCTGGGCGTTTGACAGTCCTCCAAAGGGCCAAAAGCTTCATATATCTTGCAAGAATAAGAGCAAACTTGGGAAGGTAGAGATGACTTCATTTTTCACCTCACAAGTTACTTGCAAAGTTTTAAACTCTTTGGAGACTGACACAATTTCCTTTTATTTTTACCAGAGTTCATTTGGAAAAGTGACGATTCAGATCGATCGTGTGGTTATGTTGGGATCAGTTTCCGGAGAGTACACACTACTGCCTGAGAGCAAAAGCGGCCCTCGGGACCTGGAAATCGAATTCCAATGGTCAAACAAATAACTACCATCTCCTCAGCATGCTATCATAGTAATTTAGTTCATAAAACTGAAGTTGTTCATCTCTCTTTCTCCCTTTTATTTAACCTTGCTTCTTTTTGTATATAGTCTGCAGAGAATTGCTTTCCTCTATTTCTCTGCACTAGGATAAACAAGTGTTCTTGAGTCTTGCATTGCTTGAAAGGATTATTCTTTGTTTTACCCTCTTAAAACGTTTGTGATGATAAAAGCTTGGAAGGTAGTGTCTCACCTTCTTCTTGTTCCATAATATTTGTGAGATGCGTTAGTAGCACAGAGAGAACTTAAAACTATTACCCATGTTGGAGATCTCCTAGGTAAATATAAAGGATATTGCTCCGAGTTTATGTTATTTTGATTTGTTACTTCCCATAGTCTTCTCTGTAAATATCCTTTTTGTTTGTAGGAGGGTTTGGATGCTTGAGCTTAAGAACAAGCTTGTCCACTAAAATTGCTGAGAATAGATACAGTATGCTTACTGCTTGTGTCTTATTCCAAATTGATCATTCTTCTCCTAAGAAATATGAAGTAGGCAAATTTTGGTAACATCAGATATGACTACAACAAAACCATATTGCCTTCATACATAAGACATGACACTAATAAAAATTGGTTATAATGTAACATTAGATTTGGTTTTTTCTTTGTGCACACACACACTTATATATATATATATATATATTCAATATCGATCTATAATGTCGGTGCATTGTGTATCGATACATATTAGATTCATACTGATCCAATTAGGTATGACTATGTATTTGGTATCTGAAATCTCAGATCATGTATTATCATTTAATAAAATTCAAATGAGAAAATTATGTGGAAGATTGATTAGTGGAATCTCAAAAGTTTATATTTATATATGGAAGCTCATAGTCATGAAACTGACCTTAGCTCAGTTGGTAGAGCGGAGGACTGTAGTGATGATAGATATCCTTAGGTCGCTGGTTCGAATCCGGCAGGTCGGATTTTTAATTTTTAATTAATTAATTATTTATAACACATAGCAATTTACTACTTTTAAACTTCTTTAACATTGCCACTCATTTGTACTTAATTTATTTATTTATTTTTCTATATCTTATATTCAACAAAACTTTCCATTCATTTACTAAATTATACTCAATTTCATTTTTTTAATTTTATTACTAATTTATACGACATTTATCATATTCTTTCTTTGATTTGCTACCATGTATGTTGACTTTAATTTTTCACTCATTTCTATAAGAATTCTGCATATTCTTATTAATTTGCTACTCATTCATACTTACTCAAATTGTTTACCAAATTTAAATTTAATCATTTGTGTATTTTATGCCCAATTCAAGTTTTACTCATCTCCGCTACAAGTCCAAAGTAACTTAAAAAAAACAAATCTCCGCAAGTCAACCACTAAATACTTCCATTCTCATCTCATCAATATACACTTGAAATAGACTAAAGACAGGGATGATACTTTTATGATGAATTCCGAGAAAAAATCTTCATCATTGAGATAATGTCTCAACTTAAATTTTTTTTTGCATAATATCATTTTTTATAAATAATAATTTTATTCCTAACCTTCCACCGAACCCATTGTTGAGGGGGTCTTTGTCGATGCCACAACCTCTATAGCCCTCCTTCCATGAAAGTGCAACTATGAGGGTGAGACCTTTACCTACATCGAATTTACCCAACAGTAAAGACATATAGCCCCCAACAAACCTCGTGACGATAAGGATAGATCACCCCCCCCCCCTCCTTCCTCATATACGATCGATGACAACGATTGTTTATACCATTTCTCGCACAAGGATAGTAAGAACCATCATTGTTACATTCTCTCCTTTCTTGCTCGAGGCTAAGCGAGCAAAGACATATCCGACAAAAGAGACACAACACAAATACGATAGTCTGCTACACCCCCTCCTTCCTTGATCGAGGGCAAGCGAGCAAAGACAAATCCGACAAGACAGACGTGACATAAATACGATGGTGAATACGACAACGTGTATAGATGATGGTATAAAATTAAAATAACCCTTTTCACTCCATCAAAGACATTCTGTAAATTGTTTTCAAAATTAATACGCCCAGCAAAACATTCTCAAAGATCTAAAAAAAGGGTAATAAATAAAACCCAAGAACAGATTTGTCCAGCACAACAAAGACAGTTAAAGAATAATAAGCAGGTCCTTGATCATTATTTACCTGCCCATCTACCAGGAATTGAATATCAGTACCAGACAACAAATTTGTCAGGAAAATTGTCACCCAAAACAGCTCCCTACATGTCTGCATATCATCTACTTTGGTGAACACAGTGCAGAAGCCGATTCAGACACTCAAAACACAGCAACAGATTGCACGGCTAATTGTTGCACGGGCTTCTTAGTCTTATTGAGGACACAAACGACAATCATGTAATCAACCATTACTTGACATGCATTCCACCTGAAGACAATGGGGTATGTTGATTTCTGTTCTCTTTCTTTCTTTCCCTTTTCTCTTTGTTTTGTTGTCTTTTTTGGTGTATGGACAATCTTTGAATAGTGAATTGGACAAAATGTCTTTGCTTATTACATAGTTGAACTAATAAAAATTGGTTATAATGTAACATTAGATTAGGTTTTTTCTTTGTGCACACACACACACTTATATATATATATATATATATATTTAATATCGATATATATATATTCAATATCGATCTATAATGTCGGTGCATTGTGTATCGATACATATTAGATCCATACTGATCCAATTAGGTATGACTATGTATTTGGTATCTGAAATCTCAGATCATGTATTATCATTTAATAAAATTCAAATGAGAAAATTATGTGGAAGATTGATTAGTGGAATTTCAGAAGTTTATATTTATATATGGAAGCCTATAGTCATGAAACCGACCTTAGCTCAGTTGGTAGAGTGGAGGACATTTATCATATTCTTTCTTTGATTTGCTATCATGTATGTTGACTTTAATTTTTCACTCATTTCTACAAGAAATTTTTACAGTTAATTGCATATTCTTATTAATTTGCTACTCATTCATACCTACTCAAATTGTTTACCAAATTTAAATTTAATCATTTGTGTATTCTATGCCCAATTCATGTTTTACTCATCGAAGTCCAAAGTAACTTTTTTTTAAAAAAAATCTCCACGAGTCAACCACTAAATACTTCCATTCTCAACTCGTCAATATACACTTCAAATAGACTAAAAACAGAGATGATACTTTTAGGATGAATTTCTAGAAAAAATCTTCATCATTGAGATAATGTCTCGACTTCAAAAAAAAATTTCACATAATATCATTTTTATAAATAATAATTTTATTCCTAACCTTCCATCGAACCCATTGTTGAGGGGGTCTTTGTCGATGCCGCAACCTTTGTAGCCTTCCTTCCATGGAAGTGTAACGATGAGGGTGAGACTTTTTCCTATATTGAATTTATCCAACAATAAAGGCATAATAGCCCCCAGCAAACCTCGTGACGAAAGGATAGATCACCCCCCCTCTTTCCTCACCTATGATCGATGACAACGATTGTTTATACTCTTGCGTAGTAAGAGTCATCATTACTACATCCTCTCCTTCCTTGCCCAAGGCTAAGCGAGCAAAGACATATCCGACAAAAGAAACACAACACAAATATGATAGTCTGCTACACCCGCTCCTTCCTTGCTCGAGGGCAAGTGAGCAAAGACAAATCCGATAAAACAGACGTGACACAAATATGATGGTGGACACGACAACGTATATAGATAATGGTATAAAAATAAAATAAACTTTTCACTCCATCAAAGACGTTCTGTAAATTGTTTCAAAATTAATATGCCCAGCAAAACATTCTCAAAGATCTCAAAAAAGGGTAACAAATAAAACCCAAGAACAGATTTGTCCAGCACAATAAAGACAGTTAAAGAATAATAAGCAGGTCCTTGATCATTATTTAGCTGCCCATCTACCAGGAATTGAACATCAGTACCAGACAACAAATTTGTCAGGAAAATTGTCACCCAAAACAGCTCCCTACATGTCTGCATATCATCTACTTTGGTGAACACAATGCAGAAGCCGATTCAGACACTCAAAACACAGCAACAGATTGCACGGCTAATTGTTGCACTCGAGCTGGGCTTCTTAGTCTTATTGAGGACACAAACGGCAATCATGTAATCAACCATTTCTTGACATGCATTCCACCTGAAGACAATGGGGTATGTTGATTTCTGTTCTTCTCTTTCTTTCCCTTTCTCTTTGTTTTATTGCCTTTTTTGGTGTGTGGACAATCTTTGAATAGTGAATTGGACAAGATGTCTTTGCTTATTACATAGTTGAACTATACATATTAGCTTAAAAATACAGGACACTGCAAAAGTGAACAATAACTTTTTAATGTATTTGTTCCTCTGTAATCAACATTTTTCTTTTCAATTCCAAGTAATCCTCAGAAATATGACCTATTGATAGAATCAAGACACTGTCGTTGATTTATCAGATGGTTTAACATTTGAAAGGGCTCTGATTCAAACCTTGGAAAGGACTCTTACCAGATGCTCCTTGTGGTGTTGCTGAGTAGTATTCTGCTTATTTGTTCTTATTTGCTTGCTAACAGGATAGTAAAGGACTCATATAACAGTGGGTGATAGGTTGTGAGTGCATATCTTGGGAAGTCAAATTAAATTTTGGGTAGCTTTGTTCCTAAAACTTAATTATATTTATGTGTCTGCCATTTGCAGAAAAATACACAATGGATGCTTTGTGTGTCGTTTTGAATATGGATGCTCATGCCGGTATCCGAAAAAGAGACCCATTCCATGACACGACAGCATAGAAGAGTATCAAGGGATGAAAACATTTCAAATAATACGGAAAAATTGTTTTTATATATTTTAGAGGGAAGATCAACTATGTAGTTGGGCTTTTTTTGCTATAGATTGAAGCCGTATAATGCTCTAATCTTACTGAACAAAGATGACAGTAGCTGAAATGTTTTTGCTACAGCTGAGAAATCAGATGCATGACCATATATTCTTAACCATGAGCTTAATCCATGAAAATGGAGAAATCAAACATGGGATTAATTTCTTGTGTGTCACATTGGACCATGTCACCAGAATCTAGTTTTTTTCCTTTCTCAACCAATAGGATGCTTGTATATATAAGTTTTGCTTGGTGAACTTCCTGCAATTTTTGACATAAGGGTGCTTGGTAATCCTGCCATCTGAAATTTATGATGCTTTGTATGAACAAAGCAAAATTATAGTTCAAATTAATGCATTACCATCTTGTTTTGATTTCATTAAGTTTGTACTCTCTTGTATCAATTTCAATGAGGCACTTTGAAAGTCACAACTCTTCATTTTGGCTGGGGAAGAAAGAAGATACAGCTATAGACATGGATAATTCCTGCAACTACTTGTGAATTTTTTACCATGAAAAGTTGTTGAAAACACATTTAATTTCCTCTTTTATTTTAAATTCCAAATCAAACTTTTACCTAAATCTTAATCTCAAACTATATTATTACTCTTTTGTTTGCTTGCCTTGCATATGTAGCCATCTCTCTCTAGTGTTTCCGATGCATAGATTTAATCATTTACTTTGTGGCAGTTTGCTGCTGCCAAGCACTGGATCCATATGGCTACTCACCAACTTGCTGCACTCTGCAACACTGCATATGTCTCTCCACAGGGGAGCATCAAGCAGAACTGCTCACACAAATAGCTGCTCATGGTCTTCTCCTTGCAGTGGATGCTTTTGGGTGATCTTTTGACACTCCTTTCTTGCATTCCTATAAAACACAAGTTTCATTTATACATAATTGCATCTCATTACAAATTTTCCCCTGTGCTTTGAATCTTTTTTATCTTTTTCCTTTTGTCAATACCTGCAGTCTTTTAATCAGAATTTATCTTAATGAAACCATATTTCTTGATGATAAGTTATTACTAAATTCTTGCTTCCTAGAGAAAATATATATGACAAGTATCTCATGCTATGCAGTCTATCTGAGACTCTTATGTTTTATTGCTATATGTAGTAATTGGTGATTTCAATATAAGAACATGATATTTTATAAGATTGAATACCTTTGCAACAATATTGGTGCCTTTCTCATTCCCTCCTTTTAAGTTTGAATACCTTTTGATGTTAGACCAGGTCTTGTTTCTGAGTAATTGCTTCCATCAGGTGGTTCATCTTGTTCTGTGGTTACCAAACATGCTTGTCTTTTCATTAGCTTAACTTCTCTATCTTTTGTTTTCTAAGCATACACACACACACACACACACACACACACATATATATATATATATATATATATATATATATATATATATATATATATATATATATATATATATATATCCAGAAATGCAAATATCTTATATACCTCTCTAATTCTTGGAAATCAACCTTATATACCATTCACATAAACCTCATTGGATTTTACCTATACCAAGGTTAAGGATTAGAAATGTAGTTAGTTAAAATTAATTTTTGTGGAGTAAACATGTTTTAGGAAAACCTTTCCACATGGCCAATGATCATAAAAAGAGAGTTTCTAAGATTTGCAAGTGTTTAGGATAACAATGAAAATAAATTAATCATGTTTTACCTTTTAGATGATTCTATAACAAGATTTGTTCTTCTCTTCTGTTTTTCTTCTATATGATATCATTGATATCATGGATGTCACCCTTTGTTGCCTTTTACACCATTGTGTTCTTAGACTTACAGTTCTTTTGCTTTGCTTCAGTAATCATGTGGCTCAGTATGTGCTAAAGCTAAGAAATCTACTGGTAAATGCACATCTGCAACACAATTTGAAGGACCTTATGTGACACTCTCGACACAAAAGTTCGGCAGTAATGTGGTGGAAAAATGTCTGCAAATTTTCGACGAACAAATCCGAGCAAAAGATCATACTCGAGTTGCTGTCGAAACCTCAGTTTGAACTGCTACCACAAGATTCATATGCAAATTACGTGATCCAATCTGCCCTTACACTTGCAACAAAGGTTTCTGCCGAGACCAGATTTAACCTGCAACTACACAGTACTCACAGCAGATTTTGTTACAGGAAAGATTCTAAACCATCTTCTACTTTCTTCTCTTCAGGGAAAACTCTATGCTGCACTGGTTGAAGCAATCACACCTCATTCAGCCCTTCGATTCAACCCATATTGCAGAAGGATCTTCTCCATGATTCATCTAAAACAGCCATGTGATGATGATATGTACTATGAATGCTGAGAGCCTTTGTTGTTATCATGCGTTTGGATTGTTGCAGTGTCCTGAATGCACATGTGAAAGTAGTGTCTAATAGGTGTATTTTGGTAATCCAGACACTATGAATTACTCCTGTCTTATAATTTAATTGCATCTGTGCAAGAAAAGTTTGCTTGGGACAATAATTTTGTGTTCGAAGTTGCAAGTCCAGTGGTTGGAGTACTGAAGAATGGATATTCCCAACTTGATAACAGATGAACATTAAAGCAGCAGATGGAAGATTACACCTTGATACTGTGTCAGGAGATAGGAGGGGACTCAACCATGGATGAGGCCACAGGAGAGAGCCATCAACAAGATGGCTGCATCCTTTTCATCCTGGGGGAAGACCTGATGGAAAGCTGAGCTCTTATCGTCGTCGAATCGAATCTTCTTCTTCTTCTTCTTCTGTTTGAGAGCTTTTGTAGGTCTATCTGCCGGGATTCTTCTTCCATCACTTCCTACTGCTGCTGCTGCTGCTTCGGGCGCCATGGCACGTCGCGCCTTCCTCCGCCTTATCCCGCAGGCATTACAAAGAGACTGCACGTCAAGCCACCATGGAAGGATCTAAAGATGAGCACGAAACAGAAATGTAGGTGCGAGAGAAGCTTCATTGGATCAACCACTACCTTGGGACCCTGAGGTCCGCTTCTCCACAAGGGAGTCTTCGTAGTGCTGCAGTCCGAGCAGAATCTGATGACACCACCAGGTGAGCTGCTGCTACAGCTGTCATGGTGAGGAGTTCGTGAGACTCTTCCTGGTCTACCTGCGGCAGGTTCATCTGAAGCCACCGTCTTCCTCGTCCACCGCAGGCTCGATTCATGCTCGGCTTCTCTGACGAGTTCGTCGTTGCTGCTTGTGCCTGATCCGGTCATCAGCAGGGGATCATTGGGCTGCGACGAGCAGTACGTTGGAGACAAGTGCAGATATCTGACCCATTCTTGTCCTCGATGAGAATGATGATGATGCTGCTGATGATGGACATTTGATAGTTGAACTTGGTGATGTTGATCTTGATGGAACATTTGAAGAGGGAGATGGGGAGTTGTTGCATACCTCCTACAGTGAAGAGAGGGAGTACCTGAATGCAAGGAATCTCCTGAGGAGGTATACAGATGGGAATATATACATGGCATATTGGAGAGAAGGGAACAGTTGTTGAAGGCAATCTCCCAAGTACTCCTAATTATTCATTCTTTTTTATTTTGTGAGTAATTAACCATAGCACCATTGAAGAAATAAAACATAAAAAGATTATTTAATCAAAGATTTAAATACGTAGTTAGATGGTACGAAATATTTATTATCAGTGGTACGAGAAGAAATAAAGAAAACACTTACGAATTCATTACGCTTGATTTGATTAGTATAACATTCGATGATAAAAAAAAAAGATTCATATAATTAATTTAAATAGTTGAAATATTACAATTTATATTATAGGCAAAGTCAAATATGAGAATAAACTAAGGTTAATATATGCCGTCTTAGATTTATCAAGAGGTTATTGTTAAGACTCGAACCACCTTATCATTAGATAATGGTTGACAAAATTAAAGAAAATATTTGGAATAAAATAAAATTATATATTCCAAATAGTAAAATAAAATTATATACCACAAGCATTTGGAATTTTGTTATGAGGGCAGCAAAGAGGAACATTCCTGCCTGGGGAAGAGATGATAAGAAAAGGAACAGATAACAACATAACAATGGGTTAAACCTTCATATGGAAACAAAAACAGTGAGAATGAACGGCAGATATAAGGGTGAAGTACAACATATTAGATTCCAAGATGCCACCCTATAATTCATTGTCATGTACTGCTGCAAGTTTCAGAGAGCCATAGGAATGCGGAGGATGGAGGTAGATCTGAAGGCAGAAGAGGCATTTCAAGCTTTTGTTTCTTTCTTTGTTTCTGCATTGTATTAGGCGCAGACACAGATTTGCCATTTAGCAGGCAAGTGGGCAGGGAAAAGTTTCTTTGGCACAGCACAGCCCAGCCCTGCTATCAATCATTTTACCTTGGCGTGTGTTGTGTCACTGATCCTCTCTTATCCTCTCTGCGTGTGCAGGTGGGAGATGGAAATTGTTGAAGAAGAGCTTGTCTCCATCCAGACCACAGGGTGAGCTGCTTGTGATCCATGAACAGCCAGTGAAGACAATACTAGGAATTTCACTGTGTATTATACTGATGTATGATGTTTTGAACTCCCAGCTTTGTTGGATCCACCTTACTTGCCTGCGTAGAAAGGAAAAGGATGGTTATGATGATATATAAGAGTACATAAATCTACTAGCATCAGCTTAGACCTTCAGCAGTTTAAGTAAGCTTATCAAGTTCGTTTTACCAGACCTAATAATGTGTATGATTAAACAAAAGCATTTTATGCCACAATTGCAATTCTTTCAAGTTAATGGGTTAGTTTTTCCATCAATTCAGATTGAAATATTCTTTAAACTGATCTTCAGTAAGTTCTAGGGATTGTTCTTAGTGTTGTTATCCACTTTTGCTACAATGATTCTATTCTCTGAAAAACATCACTCTTCTTTTGTCGAGTTCTGATGTGTATCAGGTAACAGATTTCCATGTTCTATATTAATAGGATGATCATAAAGTTATGGTTTGGCTTCTACTAATGTAACAATAAAATAATCATATCAATACACTTTGCCGTACCTATGATTCTTTAATCAGAGGCAAACCCTAGACTTTCTTCCTTTTTCTTCTTAATAAACACAATACCAACAGACTTGCCAATCTAAAGGTAGCAAGAAAACAAGCCTTCAGAGCTACTACACCTTATTCTGCAGCAGAATGCCAATATGCATCAAAGGCAGGTAGCCATTAGCATCTTGATGGCTTTTGCAGGCCGCAGATTTCTTATCTGTTCGATGGCTGAAGAGAGAAGGATCTCAGATCAGAGGAACTACATCTAGTTTATATGACAGTAAGACTTGAAACGTTCTCAGTCTCAGCATCACTCGTGGCCAAGGAGAGAGAGACATTACCAAGGATCCATGTCCTGGCTTGTGAGGCGCACAACTCAAATAATGCAGTACATCCAACAAAGTGCAGCTTTCAGAGGAGAGAGTCAGCAAACCTTATTTGGGGGCCTGCTATTGAGCTACAGGACATAGTCCTACTTGGTACAATGACACCTTTGCTTCTTTGTCTCCCTCAATCCAAGAAGCATGATGCACATTGGTGAGATCTGTAGAAGTTGGCCAAACCTGTGGGGTCAGGAGATCACATGAAATCAATTCTAGAGGGAAGAATTGAATGATGATGATTGTGGGATGATCATGTTTGGACCAGCGATTGTGCCGTCTTACCTCAGAGGAGATAGTACTGTCGGACTCTGATTTGGAGCACCCGCATCAACACAATGGAGAATCCCTTGGATGCACGTCATAATCCCCACCAGGAGAATTACCTGGGTCAAATATTTGAACCTGTATACACTTCAAGATGAGGAGAGATGGTTAATAAACACTACAAGGCATGCCTCTTCATCCATTTCTCTTCATAAAGCTATCTTTGTGTAAAACAAAATTATTCATAACAACATCCATTTGAAATTCTCCATGTCAATGTAAATTGAACCAAAAGAAATATTGGAAAATAGATGAAGAACACCCAATGACAAGTTTACAAATAATAGTTGCAGCAAGAAATTTCCTATTTTTAACACTAAAACTTTGCAGTAATACTGAGCATCTGATCTCAACATCTCGGATCATGGAGATATGGAGTCGCCATGGCATGATCCTGTACCACCCGCATCCATCTGACTAGTTACAGCAACATCCTCGACCGCAATCCTTGCTCTGCCCTTTGCCAACCTGCGAGCGATGACCTTACGCCCACCCTTGGTAGACTTCCTAAGCAAGACAACACACACAAAGGAAGCACTTTAAAACAATGAAATCACAAAATGTAGCCACAGAGGAATAGCATAACAAAGATAATAAGAAATAGATAAAAAGGAGTCATTATATTTAGATAGTAAGTTAATCACAAGGTTTATGAAAAAAATATCTTTCAGTTCACCAAGGTAAAACAGATGTTGGGGAATCTAAAGGTTGTATATAAATATATAAGGTAAAAGTTCACCAATTTTTGGACCACATTACTATTAGATTAGTTTCTTAACAAACTTGATCCAAGTAATAGATAATAGCCCAATTGCTCGACAGTTGACAAAAAACTGTTTAACAAATCAAGCTTGATGGAATTTCACATTTATCAGGAAAGTTCTTTCAAAGACATGGCTGACTTGAGCCACATATTCCAATTTATGCTGATAATACTCTATAGAACAAAATCTATATATGCTGAAAATAATCAATTAGTTACTAGATATCTCATCACACGCATCATTTACAGAAGAAATCACACCAAGGGAACTCAAAATCATATTTTTGAATGAATAAACTACAATGAAAGGTCTGAGTACCAAGATAAGCATCTTGATGATCTGGGATACTTGATTAAAATAGATTAATTAACTAAATTGAGAGAGAGACCATTGAAGGTAACCATGAGTCCTCTTGCGCTTAACATGGCTTGGCTGGAATGTTCTCTTTGGAAGCAGAAGCATTGACTCATTTGTTGAATCATCATTTCCTATGGAATAAACATACTAGCATCAACACCAAACAATAAGGAAGCCTATATTTGAAAATATACATGACCGATGCTAGGGCATAATACGCATGAAAACTGTCAATGACACTAATTAGAAAACAATCTATCATTTGCATTAAACAAAAGAAAGGATTGCAAATTATGTTTCCAACTGTTGACGTTTACATACATCTATTAGTAAATTCAAGTCTTGAATTCTCAGTAATAGAACAAGACAAGAAAATTTGGAACACCAGGTATTAAAAATTTGAAAAGCATCTACCAAATCATTAAGCATTCAGAACCTCCACTTGTATTCAATTCTCATTCATAACCAAGCAAATGTATTGAATCATCATGCATTTAGAACCTCCACATGTATATCAATTCTCATTCATTACCAAGCAAATGTACTGAATCATCGTGCATTTGAATGATTTAAATGTACCCTTTTAGCAAGACGTTTCTAGCAGCTGAAAGCAACAACAGATGGTAGCAGATCCGTCCACGGATTCAACCAGTTGAAGCTAGTGCCACGGCATTGTGCATAAAATCAAACATGTCACACGGTATAACAGCTTCATGGTAGCCCAAAAGCAACTCCCAAAAATCTTCTGGAGAAAAGAAACGTTCTAAGTTGGAAATTAGTCGGATCCATACTGTTCCAAGAAAGGCCAACTAATCTCTCACAATCAATGAAAGAAATGTTTGCCAAAATAAATTTCTCGTTCGAAATCTACCATCTACTCCCACTGCACTGTTGTTTGAACTGAAAATTTTCAAAAGACACACTGCACAATAGTAATCTCACCAATGTAGAGTAAATGATCTCACTGACAAAGCATATTCAACAACTTGATTCATCATTAGACCAAAGTTGATGATTAGTATGCTACTTTGAGACATCATTGATTGAACAGACACTGTTAGAATAAAAGCAAGTGAGCGCACCTTCATCGATGAAGAAGCGAAGAGACGGCAGGCCACATGGAAAGAAAGCGCCGTGCGAGGACGTCAAAACTCTCAAGGTTTCAGTGTCTCTTTCTCCTCCTCCGCAAGCCTCCGGCTGCGGGGGATGAGCGGCGAGCGACTTCGACGAACGAAGGAAACCGCGATACGTGAGAAGAGAACCGAGAAAGAGCGAATGCACTGGTTTGCTTCGAACGATTGGCGAGGAAACGGCGATTAATGAGCGAAGCTCAAGCTCGATCAAGCACTTGCAGCAATCGGCCGCTGCGATGCCGTTCGAGCCCCGTTAGGGCCATTTTTTATTTGGGCCATCAATTGTTTGGGCCCGTTAAGCAATCTGCTACAAATCAAAGCAGTTTTCTTGTTTTCTGATTTTGTTTTCAGTAACATTTACGGTTTATTCAGCAATTCTAGAAAATAGAAAACAAGTTTTATAAAACATGTATAAACAATTTGGAAAACAAGTTTATTCGCAGTTACTTGCGGTCGCACGTGCGACATTCGCCTCTTCCTTTGTTACCTTTTCTTCCCCTCAGTGGCTGTCTGCCTTCACGGCTGACCCTAATATCCCTGCCAATCGAAGAACAGGTGATGTCTTCCATCCTTATCCGATCCTTTCTCGATCCCTTTAAACCATCTTCGCTTTCTTATTTCTGGCGGTGTTAATCGTTTTATCTACAGATTTGTTGCCTTCTTTTTAGCTGCGAATGATTTGATGGTCGAAGTTTGGTATTTTATCCGGTTCTGATGATTAGTTGAGCAAATGGTAGCGTCTCTCATGTTCCTTGCATCTCGATGTTCGAAGCATGATTCTGATGAATTCAAATGTCTCTTTTTCATACAATATTCATTCCTTGACCATCAAGAGTAGATGATCCGATAGCGGCGTTATTTTATGGTTGAATTTCACATTTTTGGTAGATTTATGTTCATCTTTTTAATTGATCGAGCAATGTTTTCAAGTGTTATGTTTATATTCGTCTTACAAGGATTAATCGGCGATATGCTGTTTGGAATCAGGGAGTGGAAGGGACTTGATTCCGTAGGAGAGGGAAAGGAGACATCAAGGTGATCATGGATAGGCAGAGAACTCATGATTGGGAGACTCATGGAAAGAGCAATGATATAGATGAGAGCACACCGATCAACAAAGTTAAAGGTCCTAATGTGTTTGAACGAGCAAAGGAAGAGATTGAAGCCCTTGTAGAAGCTCTCCACCCCAAGGGGAGTCCTCAACATGAGCATCATGAAAGGAATTATGGTAATTTTAGATCTACACTCAGGCAGTTCAAAGTTATGAATAACAATTTTTCATGAGGGTCATTGTGAAATGAGTTAGATGATTGGGTTATCTGAGGGGAACTGCCGCTATGCCAATTTCACTGCCATTTAGTTCTTTTTTCTTAAAACATATTAATCCTTCTTTATTTCTTGAGAATTTTGGTTCGAATTAGACTTCACATATCACTCGTAGGATTGGTGATACTGGTAGACATGAATATAGATGTTCTCCATTGCTCTTCAATGCCCATAACTTGAGAGCTTCTGCATAACCTCTTTTTCAAATTAATAGTTCTCTTGGCTTGACTACTGACAGTATCTGCTTTAGCTGGTGAGCACAAGTACTGCTTGGCTTACTGACAAATGTATGATTTCCATGTTACACTAATCATCTAAACCTATTGCCTCTTGTACGTAATGCCTAGCAGAGAACGAAGTAGAATCATCCAATTTACTTGAGAGAGCAAAGAAAGGGACTGATGAACCTGTGCACAGGGGGAAAACACACCATAAAGAGACTCATGGTATGAGCAATGATATTGATGAGAACACTCCTATTGGTGAAGTTGTAGGCCCAAACTTGTTTGAACGAGCCAAGGAAGAAATTGAGGCCCTTGTGGAAGCAATTCATCCAAAAAAAGAATCGGACAATAAGCCACAATAAAAGATGTCTATTGCAAAAAGGTTTGAGAAATCCTGCCCTCCTTTTAGTATGGATAAGAATTAGCTCTAAAGGTTTATGAGTTTTGTTGATTATCTATATGTGATTACATAATTGTCTGTAAACAGTCAACATCCTCAGTACGCGGGGGGTTGTTTTGTTGGCAGTGAACATTACCAAACTTGGTTTCCTTGCTAGAGCCTGCTTTTCTTTAGGAGAGATTACAAACACAGAAGAGGCTCTTACCTAGTTTACAAGATGTTTTTACTTTCATTGGTACCATGCTCATCATGCCTTTGTTAGGCTATTTGATTACTGATGTTATGTGAGATATCAAATCTTCACTTTGTGGAACTGTAGTTGACTCCAGCTGTATATTAGTGTGATACCTCGTTTCTTGTGAACTTTGTTTGAAGTTGTATCTGTCAACATGGTGGTCATATAATTTATATGGTTACATAGTAAAAAAAAAATTATTTTTTATTTATTTTATCACTTAACTCTTTGCATGACAATTTTATAGCTCAATATATATTTGGTTGATCTAAAATTTTTCAGAATGTGCCCAGAAAATAGAACAGGTAAAAAAAATGAAGGTGAGATCCTAAGATATTTTCTTTGTAATAAATGCTAGATCACTGTGAGAAAATTTCGACCTGTGTAATTTTATTTCTTTTTTAGATAACCTGAATATTCTATACCTTGATGCACAATTTGGACTAGAGAAATTACAGTTCTAGTCTTGTTTATAGTTGCATTCAAAGGTTGTGTGTGAGATGGGCGAAATTAGATGAACAAATTCCCCCCATCTCAAACCTTTCACTCCATCTTAACATCTCAAAAATCCATTCAAGATAGATGCATGCCTCAGTGAGGCTCCAAGGATGGCTGAGATGCGTGTTGATGGACGGTATGATCAGCATCCATACTGGTTGGAGAGATAACTGGAATTGTTTAGTGAACAATGTTGTTTAAAAGACATATTGTTCTAATTGCTTCTTCTATAGATAGCAAGACAGCCTCCTCGATAATCGGCTTGATGGCAATGTTCCTTATTTTGACTTTGTTAGTATTTTGAAAAGGTCAAGAATGTGGTACGTAACACTTTTGATTGAATGTATATGTTAGATCCCCAATTAGTCTCACAAGGATTTGACTGCTGTACTATTTTTAATTTAAGTTTAAACATTTTAGGTCAGTGGTCCAAGTCTATCAAGTTATGGATCATACCGTGAGATATCAAAGTCGACCTAATATTGAGTATAGTATGATATTTGATAGAGTGATACCACTGTTAGGTTGACCTCATATGTTTCATAATGTCGGGTCCTCGACAAGAACGTGGAGTTCTTAAGTGGGGAAGATTGTAACAACTCAGTTTGTTCTCACTTCCGATGGGAGCCAGATTAATCATTAATCCATAGATGTATAGTGGGGAAGATTGTAACAACTAAGCTGTCACTTAATTTGTAAGCACAGATTAATCAATAAGCTGTGAATGATAACATTAGGTAGATGTTATATTAAAAAAGCTCTAGCTTTTGCGTTGGAAATCTTACATGATTAATGTTTCAAATGTTCTTTACTACCACAAATTATTTCATTTAGAAAGCAGTAACAGGATTTTTTTTTTACTAATACAGTTAAAAATATTATGTAGCTTTTATGAAACCTGAAAAGAACGGTATTAGATTCACTATTGTTGATTGAAGTATGTTTATCATTGATGCTGATATTCTATGATTGACCTCCCCTGATTGCTATGCATATATTTGTTTTGATAGCTGTTAATGCTGATGTGTTTCAGTTAAAAATTAATTACTTTCATTTAAAGATTATTTTGTCATATAGAAATTATAATTTTGTCCTTATAGGGGGAATAAGTTGTTTCAAATGTGACAATAAAATGATTCATTTAGTGATTAAAAGAAAAGATTGTGGCTATAATTGCAGAAGTGAGCTCTCTTGATCTTTAGATTGATCACAGAAATATCCAATATTCATGTGAAGAAATAAATGCATTGATAACTTGTCATGATAACTGTGGGTTTGAGGCTGCCTGGTTTTCTCTGGTTTCAGGTGTTCTTGAGAAGGTGTGAAGACAGTTGACAAGCTCAAGTGTTTCACAGTCCAATGTGCACATTGGACTGTCTTCTTCAGAGCACATTGTCATATCATACACATTGATAGTCCAATGTGCCGGATTTCTACGAACACCACCTAATTATTGTCAACAGTGACAGTCTGAACTTGTTCTGTCAGAAAAGGAAACAATATTGGTGATTTAGATCTGCCATGAATCATCGAATGTCTTTGTGATAGAAACATGATCAGTTACTATTGAATGGATGGCTACGTGGGGACGAAGAATGCATCTCTTTGTTTGACTTCCTATTTACTGTATGTACAACTTCGATACCCTCAATTTCCTGTTGAGAACACACACAGCTTCCGTATTCACAAACATTCCTCGGACTGACAACAGTTATTGTTGTAGAAAGAAAGAATAAGCACATGAATTTGAAAGAAGAGAATATTTCAAATATTTCTTTGAGAATATAGTAAGAGAATATTTTGAATAATTATTTTAAGGTTTATCTTTGGTAGATATGGAACAGATGAAGAAAATTTAGGGGGTTTATATGTTGAACTATATAAATTTTAAGTTTATTATTTTTCTATATTTATGTTTTTTTTATATATAAATTTCATCTCCTCTTTCTCTCCCACAACTTGTGTGCACCAAAGATTCTTAATCGAATCCTATATACTGTTCATGTTCTTTTATTTATTGGTCATCCGAATGACAAAACTTTAAAACTCATTTTAAAATATAAATTCTTATCCTAAAATTTTATTACAATTATAAGTTTACAATCATCAAAGAAAACAAAGAAATTTTCTTCTTTTGAATAAGATGCTTATTTTTCCGTCAATTTAAGCGTGAGAAGTTTACCATTTATGTCGCATCTAAAACATATCTATAATTTTATTTTACACCTCTAATTATTAAGCTAACTAACTAACTAAATAACTAACTAACTAACTAACTAACTATATATATATATATATATATATATATATATATATATATATATATATATATATGAACGGCTTGACGAGGGGGATCGTTTCTGCACCGTCCATCACCGTCCATCCGATGCTTCTGTGCCGTCATCAGGATCGTTGGAATGAATGAATCTGATGTGATCAGGTTGAATGGACATTCATTATAGGGAGAGAGAATGATAGTGTGTCTATGAATCTAAATCCAATTAATGAAGGGATGGATCAAAAAATTCAAAGAAAATGCGAGCTGGAGTTGGTCGTGATCAGCTACGACAAAGTAGAACTGTAGTTGATGTGGTGATGTCAGTGTGAAGCTACCTGTGACATGCCGCATTAGTCCACGGTCGACATGTTTGTATACATTTGCATGTACAGTGATGAGTGACCCCTTCGTATTTCCACGATACCGCGGTTTGCTGCTTGCTTAAGGCATCTATCTATAAATGAAGCTGAGGTAAGTCGTCCGTCCTCCTGCAAAGTCATTCTTCTTGCTGTTCTTCTTCTTCTTCTTCTTGTCGATTCTATGGGTCTGTCCTTTTCCTTGCTTTCATAGGCTTTGCTGAAACACAAGATGTTTCCGTAGGATCGATTAGCTTTGGGGAGAAAGACATCGAGATGACAATTGAGATCACTCGGCTTCAAACGATGAATGAGAGCAAGAACCAAGCCATGAACGAGACCATAACAGTTGCGGTCCGTGATCCGAAGCTCGCGAGGTGCCTTCCTGGGTTGTCTTCACCGAGGCCTTTGAGTGAGCCCGATGCAGCAGCCGCCAAGCTGCAAAGGATCTACAAGAGCTTGTGCGGAAGCAGGAGAAACCTAGCAGATTGCGCGGTCGTGGTTGAGGAGCTCTGGTCTGTCTCCACCTCTGCAACATTTTGTTTCCGGCGGATTTGTGCTTGTGTTCTACCTATTCAGGAAATGTCTCTGATGTCACTGGGTTGGTGGCAGGTGGAAGGCATTAGATTTTGCGTCTCTGAAGCATTGCTCTGTGTCATTCTTCAACGTTGGAAAACCCGAAACAGCCGCTTCCCGATGGGCAAGGGCAAGAACTAGAGCAGCCAAGGTAATAAAAGCATCTCTCTCTCTCTCTCTCTCTCTCTCTCTCTCTCTCTCTCTCTGATCGATGGTTTCATCAATTTTCAGGTCGGCAAGGGTTTGTCGAAAGACGAAAAGGCTCAGAAACTAGCACTACAACACTGGCTAGAAGCTGTAAGATTCCTTGTGTGTGTCACCGTTGTTGTGCAGCTCACAACAAGAGATAGGAAAACTGAGGTTATTCTGCTGTGCAGATCGATCCACGCCATCGGTACGGCCACAATTTGCAGTATTACTATGACGTCTGGTTTGAGAGCGAGAGCTCCCAGCCATTCTTGTTCTGGTGAGTATGGGGAGATCATACACTAAGCTGCCCTTTGTAAATCGAACTATATCAGTGCTTATGATCTCCTCTTCGGTCTGTCCTCGTCTCTGCATGTGAATGAAGGCTGGATGTTGGCGACGGACGGGAGATAAACCTCGACAAGTGCCCAAGAAGCAACCTTCACGACCAATGCATTCGGTATCTCGGACCAGTATGCTCCTTGATGACCATATTTTGCATGCATGTGTTCGACTGTTGCAGATGAATAATACTCTTCCACCCTCACGCAGAAAGAGAGGGAAGCATATGAAGTCATCGTGGAGGATGGGAGGCTCGTCTACAGAGAAAGTGGACTCCGCGTGAGCACTGCGGAAGGCTCCAAGTGGATCTTCGTCCTCAGCACATCAAGAGTGCTTTATATTGGTCAGGTACGTAACATCAAAACCCCCAAAGCAAAGAAGATATGTCAGATACCATCATATGTTCTTCTTCTCCTGTGAGCAGAAGAGGAAGGGGAACTTCCAGCATTCCAGCTTTCTAGCTGGGGGAGCAGCTACGGCTGCGGGGAGATTGGTGGTTGCCGGAGGGGCGCTTAAGGTGCACATAAACTTTGATTTCAGCACAGGGAGAGTGCTTCATCCTTGTCGATTGATGCACAGAGTCTCAATTCTTGGTTGTCATGCATGCATGCATTCTTCTTCAGGCGATATGGCCATACAGCGGTCACTACCTCCCAACAGAAGAGAACTTCGAGGAATTCATCATCTTCCTCCGAGACAACAACGTAGACCTCAGCAATGTCAAGGTAAATACATACATATAGCTACTTCATCTATGAATAAGTAATATATATATATATATATAGAATAGATCGATAAAAGTTTTAAGGTAATGAATTCGATCAGGCAAGTGTTCATCAAATTAAAATCGATTCAGTTTGATTCGAATTGATTAACCAAATCAAAGAAGAATACTCCTTTGAACTGAAACTGTTTATAATATTCAAGACTAAACTATCGATTAATCGATTCAAATCTTTATGAACCAATTGAGTCTCATTCGATTCGATTTTTTCGATTAAATTGGTCGATAGTTACATGCGTTGCTGCTACTACTATTCGATTCGCAGAGATGTTCTGTCGACGATGATATGTACCCCTCGTTCAGAAAGAACACCGAGGAGATGGAAGACGTCGCGAAGGTTCCCAATGCAGCTCAGGAAGCAACAGGTTGGGACTTTGACATGCAAGGCAGAGTCACCATGGAGAGCGACGGTGGCACGCAGATCTTGGATGCACTAACCGATAACACAAGCATCGATCGAAGATTTTGTTCTTTTAATTATTTTTTTCGATAATATATAAATATCTATATGCATATATTATTAGATAGAGATTGATTTGATTAGGAAGCAATCTCTAATTTTTTATTGTTCTATGTTTTTGTATGTTAGACAAATAATGTACATTGCTTGAATTTTGGTAATTACATCCGATTAATTTACATTACAAGAGCTAGGTAGCATCATATCTTTCTTTTTCCTTTTCCCAAATTATATATATATATATATATATATATATTCAAAAATATTATTTGATTTGATATCATGATAAATATTTTCATTGACTAGTAATCTAAAATATCAATCTATTTGTAAGCACTACTACATGCGAATATATCAAAATATATCTTATTTTTGAATAAGATTATAATATTTTTTATTATTAACATAAAAACATTATAACTTCATTCAAGAACCATGGAACTTGATATCATCTCATTTAGTGTATTATGTTTCTTTATAATAAATGATCACAAATATTGTAATATTTTCTAAAATATTTAAACATAAATTTAAGACAAAATAATAAATATATAATATATTATTATACTTTATATTGAAATATATCAAAACCTTCATAATTTTCATCCTAAATCATTCAAATTCTCACATATACATTATTTTATAATACTCCAAAACCTATAGTAAAGGTGACAGCTATGGTTAACTGGAAATTCAATTAATTGAAACTAAGTTCCAATGTTTTTTATTAGAATTACAATATTTTGATTCAATGATGAAAACATTGTAAGTCCATTAAGAAACATTGTAATTCGAAATACCTCTTTTTATGTTATTATTTTTAATAAATAAAATAAAAACATTATATGATTTTTCAAAACAAATATAAACCTAAATTTATGGTTAGGTAAAAAAAATTAAGGACTTGTCATCCTTTATTTTGAAACATGTCAAGACATTGATAATTTCCATTCAGAATTATTTAAAGACTTTCAAATAAAATATTTCATCAAAACATTAACACATTTAATAAATTTAATAATTAAGGTTTGCACAAATTTAAATTAATTAAGATTGAGATATACTATTTTTAATAAAATTACAATGATTTTAGTTTTGGATAATCAGTTCAGCTCAACCAAAAAAAAAAAAAAGAAAAGCTGTAACTAACTGAACACAAAACATGAAACATAATAATTCTACTCAAAAACATTGTAACTGATTTGATATAACTGATCAACTATTAAATAGACTTATCAACTATTAATAAGAATAATTATAGTATTCAAAAAAATAAAACTCTCTTTAGGTATTTTAAAAATAAGAGACACTATCCCTAAAAGAAAAAAACCCAAAACTTGGAACCTTTTTTTTTTTATAAATACAACCAAACTCAAAGTTTTTCCCTTTTATTTTCATTAAAATAATACCTTCGCTATCAAATAGCTTGAGCTCGTGTGAGCTCACCATAAACCAAAGCTTTACTAAAATAAGTCAAAGACAAACTCGAACATTATTTGAGGCACCAAACACCAATTTGGTAAACAATCACACTTCTCGGTGGAAGTGTGATGTCAAACTATGAAGGTTTTGCAAATAGTTGAGAGATCATCATCCTAAGATAGAAGACATCACAAATTCTAACAGAAACAATGTAAAAACAGTCGAATCTCCTGGAGGAAATTTACATTTTACAGAACGCAGAAAGTCTGCTTTAAATCTTGAATGGTAATATTTTTTATCTGTCTATCAAACATAAGAACAACAATGGAATTACGCAGACAACTAATTACATAACAAAGCTGACAACTAATTACATAACAAAGCATCACGACATGTACCGATTGAAGTATTTTTGAACCAAACTGCAGTCAAGAGCAATAATAACAAGAAGCTATAATGTCTCAGCTATAGCATATATCCTTGAACAGTTGGACGCACCTTGTTATTGTTTTTCTTACGTGGGGGCACTCCAAATCAGCAGTTCACATCAGACTAGTTGTTCCTCTTTCGTGGATCAGGCGAAAAAAAAAAATGCCAAGGTGTGAACTCTTCCTGAAGGCTATGGATTTACATGGAGATAATAGAAGTTGCAGAAGGACATGCAATTACCATGATTAATTCCTTTCCTCATTATCAAAATTAAGGCCCTTAATGCCTTTGAGCGTGGACTCATAATTCTTAACTGCGGATGGTTTCTGTCCAGATGAAGTATGCTTCCGCTCTGCAGAACTGATTGCGGAACTTCTCTGAGCACTCGAAACCCTACGGGAATTCCCTGGGCTAGCCTCTGTAGCTCGAGTGTGAGATGCATCTGCATCGGTGTTCACCATATCTCGGCTACTAGAAACAGCAGCTCGCCTCGAGGATTCACTTGACTGTCCCATAAAAGCTGAGCTGGAAAACTAATATGCATGCATTTGAAATCAGGAACTACATATACATAATCAACACATCTCTAACAAAGCTATATTAGAATCATGCACCTATTGTTTCGTTCCAAAAAAATAATCTAAAAATTTCAAGCTCAATCATAAAGTTAGATACAACCCACAAACTAATCAATATATGTCATGAGATAATCTCAGTTGTAGAATCCCGACTGAAGTTGGAAGAACTTACATGACCAAGTAGACTATAGGAAAATTGTGTACCAGTACCTCCATTAATGATGCAAAATAGATAATCTGCTACAGATTGAAGAACATACCCTCTAATATCATAACAGTCAAATGTTTACATTCTGTGTACTTATATCAAGTACAGTTGAGAACCCTTCCAAACAGTGAGGCAGCAAAAAAATTTTGCTAATCTCAGATTCCTTACTCCCATATGATAATCGTTTTAAAAGTTCTAGTTTATAAATCTCACTTAAGTCATGGTGAGCTCAATTGTCTATTTCTGTATAATTATCAGATTCAATGTAGACATACTTTGAATCTATAAGCCAATAATATATTAGTAGAATCACAGAATGGATCTGCATGCCATAAAAGATCTACAGTATGCATAATATGATTTTCTAACATCTTGGAATGGATCTATTTGCCAATAAAGTATTAGTAAAATCATAATAAGATTTTAGACAGTTGTTATGGTGCTAGTTTAAACTGCATCCTGCAACTACTTTTAGAACTTACCGACCCTGTCGCACCCTGATTACGATTAGTCTCACATCGAAGTGGACAAAATTAAGATTGATTTATAAGGATCTGATGAGTAGGCTGCTATCAACCTCAGCTTAAGCATTTAGATTAGTGATTTAGGTCAAACGAAATTGATGGATCAGTGATAAAGCATAAAGGCACAAACAAAATAAATCATGCACCTAGAGTAAGAACAAATGGTTAGAGGCAGTCCTGAATAGCATTAGACTATCATAAATAAATCATGAGGTGGACCACATTTGCAAGCTGAACAGACATGCACGCTTGATTCGTCCCTAACTATCTTGTCCCCTCAAGTAGGATATTTGGGAAACTTTATCCCATGCACATAATGTAGGGATGCCCCGGCTTGTGAGCGTAAATGCCTCTGGGGTGCCAGACCCAAAGCAGACTCAAAGAATGGGGCCCAACTTGGGGTGATGCTGGAATCGGGTAAAGAAACCAATTGATGATTTCAATGATTTAGATTGCAATTGCTATAGTACAGCAATCGAAAGTCCATGCCAGTTTCTTTCAAGATATTGGACCACTATTCACTACTTACTACTTCAATACCAATGGGCTCTTGAATGAGCATAAATGCCACAGGATACAAGTAGAAAGTCTTTATATTGACATGGTCAATGCCTCAATGACGACCTCTACACAAGAAAATTGATCATGAAAATTCAGTTTAATAATTTATATAGATTATAATCAACCATTTTTCAGTTACATTGGAGTATATCACCCTTGGAATAATTTCCAAGTAGGCTAAACTGAGATATGGACTAAAAACATCTGCAGTTCAAGAACCAAAATTAGGAAGATGATCATTTAAACAAAACATAACATAAAAAAATTGTTTTTAGTAATCTACATTCTACAGGAATCCTAAAACTTATGCTGCAGCAAACTAGATAAACATTTCAGTGGCTAAGCTCCAAATATAATTCCATAGATCTAGCGTTAACCACACGGTTCACAAAGAAAAAAATATGGTTGCAAAAAGTAAAGAAAAGACCAACAACCACGAGAGCTGGCTCAAACAAGGACCTCATTTCTGACATACATAAGGTTTGTTAGGAACATTACCACCAAAGCCCTAAAATCGCAATTATATGGGGTCGGATCTTTTGCCACCATTGAGATCCATAAAGAGTTATATGTTTAGCTAAATTAAAAATATTTAAATCTTTCTTTATAGTTTCAATGTTTGTTAGGCACACATTTAGTTAATTTGCTTAATGATAAAGCCTAACTTAAAAAGCTAGTGTTGAAACGTGCACAATGGTCAGATATCTGGTTAGTTTCGACAAGAGATATATTTCTAGTTTTCAGAATATTTATGCTGTTGTTGTCTTTTAAAGTGATTATTTGAAAGACTATAAACCCACCATGGCTACTAAAATTTCATGCCAACCATGGCTAGAAGAATGAATATATAATGAAACCTTGTAAATATAGAATCCATCAGTATTGATGCTAATAGCTATGCCTGAAAAAAAAATCATAGAAAGGGGAGAACAAAACAGATCAACAAACTCACCTTAGCATCTTTACTGACAGATGGATTGTTCCCCATTGGGGCCTTCTGCTTTGTTAAGCTGCCTGAATCTATAACTGGAGGTGTAACCCATCCCTGACGATGAGGGTCCCTCTCTTTACTGACAGATGGATTATTCCCCATAGGTGCTTTCTGATCTGATAAGCTGCCTAAATCTACAGCTGGAGGTATAACCCGCCCATGACGATGCCCTGAAATGCAATCTTTAAAATTTATTGCTCCAAATTATGAAAATGAAACAAGTAAATTCAACATGCTGGCATTACTAATAGCTTTTCTACACAGCATGAGTAATAGATTACAACAAAGATGTTTTTGTAACACATGTAACACAAGTACAACAACAAACCAGAAAAATCCCCAACTATTTGGGGCTAGCTAAATGGATCTTTTTTGTCAATAAGCTTTGTACAAAACATCTTTTGTTGAAATCAAAAGATATTCAAATTTCTACTAACAATTTCTAGTAGTTTCTTTTAGATCATCCTACCTCTCACATCACTTATATTAATTATCACTTGTCTAACTACAACATCTATAAGTCTCCTTATACCATATTCATACCATCTTAAATGAATTTTCCTTATTTTATCATGTACCATAACACATGTAAGTGTAACACAAATATAATAAGCAACAGAAATTTAGACTATAATTTGAACAATATATTAGCACAAGCTAATGAAGCAAACATGAGGAAAAAAAATGGAAGAAACTGAAGATAGATTCTATGAAGATTGGAGTCAATTATCAACATCAAGAACAATAGAGATAAGGTGCAATCTATTAATGAGAACAATAGAAGGAGAGATCACCAGATTGTCTATCATTGGCAAAAGCAGGAGCCAAGCCAGAGTTAGGTCCTGTACTTGGACCCTAGGGAATAGCAGAAATGGTTATCTACTTGTTCAGGATATGGAAAAAAAAAAGAATAAATAATATCTGCTTTTGACTCACAATAGCACGTGGGGGAGCACCAGATATCTGCGACTGCTGATACTTCAAAATGGTCCAATCAAATACATAATCAAACTGAAACCCTGCAGAGAATAGATACAGAAATGATTTTTACACAATTAACAAATTCTGCACCTTCTTTAGCGATTGTTTCATCAATTAACAGTAACCTTAAATTTTAACATATACGAGAAGGAAAATCAACCTTCACGGATAAAAAGTTCCCGGAACAGTCTCTTAAGATATGAATAATCAGGCTTGTCCTCAAATCTCAGTGAACGGCAATAGTGGAAGTACGACACGAACTCTGAAGGATATCCCCTACATAAAGCCTACGGGTACAACTTTTTCTGTCATCATAACCAATGGGAAAAGATCACAAAAGCTAAAATTAATGACATAGACAATAACTTACCTCAAATGAGGTGGCAACTTTCTTTTCACTAATTTTTTCATACTTCTGCTTCTTCGTTCCTGCTTTTAGACCTTGCCATGGAAGGCTGAAAACAAAAGAAATAAAGAGCCAATGATTAAATATTCCAGAGATCGGTAAGACAAAGGGTTCTACCTATTGAACAAACCTTCCTCTCAAAAAATACATAAGAACGTATCCAAGAGATTCCAAGTCATCCCTCCTGCTTTGTTCTTAGTAGAAGAAAAACACAGTCAGAATCAAGAAGGAATAACAAACCCGAAAAAAAAAAGATCCAAAAATGCAAAGATACAAGTTATGACAGTCAGAAAACAATAAATCAAATTGTAAAAGCAATTCATTGACAAAATAAAGAAAAGGCTGATATGAGAAGATATTCTGCATACCTATGCCAAGATGTGTGTTCACACTTGCATACCTTGCTGTCCCAGTCAAGTTCTTGTTCTCTCTGCAATATATTATAATAACATCAAAACAAAAAAAGAACCTCATGTAATCTGCATTCAGCACATGATGTTATGAGGTGGAAGTATTTCATGAGAACCAAGCTCCGGAAAAACAGAGATTTCTCTCTTTATCTTTTTGTTTGTAACAAACCCAGATGTGGAACTACAAAGTCACTAGTAAATCCGTAAATATGAAAATATGATTAGAAAAATGGAGAAACGAAAACACACCACACAGAAGTGTAGACTCAGTAGCAAGGCAGTCACATCAATTCAAGAAAGAGGTGGAAAGACGGTCAACTAAGGGAAAGAAATAACTAATAGTGAACAGCATAGGATCTGGCCCTTAATAATTCCCATGTGAAATCAAGTAATGTGAACTTGGATGCAAAATCAATACCCATGAGAATGCAGTGAGATATGATGTAACTAGAAACCAAAGTTCTGTTTTTGTAATGATTATTTATCAACAGTAAAGGTATATTGTAAAAATGGTACCCATTCACACAAGTAAATCTTATACTGAGTAATTTGAAAATCCAAACCATCACTCTTGATCCAAACAGACAAAAATTCACAATCAAGAATCAACATCAATCTTTGTCTTATTTGGCCACAATTATAAAAAAAAGGCAAAGAAAATGTCTTATGCTATGAAGCTGCCCCCATAGAGTCGACTAGGCTGCCATCCACAGCAAATTCTATAAAAAATAAAAGTATCACGACAAGGAGCTAAAAATAACAAATCTGCCAATTTTAATCATGAAACGCAACAGGAACAACAGAAACACTTTCACGGCCAATTTTAATTAAATCTTACCTATATGGAATATGCTGATGAGATGAAGTATCCCTATACTTCTTTGCAAGGCCAAAATCAATAATATACACCTGGATGGAAAAGCAACAGCAACTCAACAAAGCAAAATAATGACCTAATCATCAGATATAAACGAAGACAACAAACTAGGAGGCACACCTGATTAGCTCGTCTACCAAGCCCCATAATAAAATTATCTGGTTTGATATCTCGATGCAAAAAGGACTTTGAGTGCACAAATTCCACTCGATTAATCTGAAGTGGGAAATCGACAGATCAGACAAACTATATGATTTGAGAAATTCAGAACCTCATTGACATGAATATTCATAATGAATATGGTAGAAAGTGTTAGAAGTGTATTTTAGTAAACAAGGTTTAATAAGGAGCATTTCATGAGAGAACAATTATTTGGTTGACAAAATGAAAGAAGATGGACATAAATTGTTTTGTTGGGAGACAAGATATGATAGGAATTCAAAATAGAAAGCAAATTGAGGTAAATAAAGAAAAAAAGTAGAAGAAAAAAGTATAGCATGCTAGAAACAGATTAAAACAAAGCTGCAAGGATAATGCAAATGTTCCCAATGTTGAACAGTACTGTATTGTGTCAATTTGAAAAGGCACACTGCAGCGGTAACATACCATCTGATCTGCAAGCATCAAAACAGTCTTTAGAGAGAGTTTACGGCTACAAAAGTTGAATAGATCTTCCAGACTTGGTCCTAGTAAATCCATCACCAAGACATTATAGTCACCCTCAACACCAAACCATCTCACATTTGGAATTCCAGCTGCCACAACATAATAACGTAGAAATTTGATTTATAAGTAAGAAGTTTAAAATTTTAATTCCAACTGCTTGACACCAAAAGGGTATGAATTTTATTACTTCCTCCTTGCAGGATCTTGTACAGCTTTGATTCATAGAGCAACTGGGGGTGCTTAGTCTTGATGTTTTCCTGGTCATTAGGAATAACACATGAAGACAAGAAAATTTTATCAAAGCCATTACAAGTATTTTATGCATCCAGAAGCCTGACCTAGCAAAAACCACCTTCCATGCACTCATCAAATAACTTTAAGTTTCAGCTTGTCATTGAAAGACCAAAACCAACAATAGAAAAACTACCCACAGATGAAATGCACTAAACTGGGAATTATTGAGAGGACAAAAAAGAGGAAAGAAAGTGATCAGGAAGGTCCAAGCTATAGTCCAAACAATACTGGATGGAGCTTGCTTTTCTACCAAACCTAAGGGAGATTCTGTGCATGTGATTCTATTTAACATAAAGAATTTGACAGCTTAAAGAATTTATGTAATTTAAAGAATACCATTAACTTAAACTAAAAAATAAAAAAATATCGTACAAGTATTTCCAGCTAATAAGTTTCCAACTTTAAGGGAGGAAAAGAACACTCCAGGAATATTCAGAAGAACATTTACTAACAAAACAAATTCCAAACCAGAATAAATTGAGCAACAAAATAAACATAAAGAGAATGTACATTTAACTTACATAATTTAGCATGTCATTTTAATCAAACATTACAATGACCAAAAATCTACAACACTGGCTACACTTACGAGTTTAATTGCGACTTCCTCGTTCGTTTGAATATTAGTACCTGCAACCAAGACAAGAATTCGAAATCCCCCAAAGGAGAAAACTTTAGGAGTTTCTGCAATAAAAAGCCACACAAACCAGCTCTATAACCGAAGCGATCCAAACGTAAAGCGACCACAGACCTAGATAGATCTCCCCAAAGGACCCGCTCCCGATCTTGCGACCGAGGCGGAACTTGTTTCCAACGCGAGGCTCCATCGGACGACCGCAACAACAGACAGGAGTCCCACCCGATTCAAGCTAAGAATGAAGCCACCAGAAGCCCTCCTCCACCGATCTCACGGAGCCGCACCGAATCACCCCAGACCGGAACAAAATCCCAACAGATCGACGATGCGGTGGCTGGAAACTAGATCGATGCCCAGCGATCGATGGCAGAACGAACGGAATCCGGTTTAGATCGCGGCCTTGGGGTGTCCAAATCAGACGAAACCGCTCAATAAATTAGGGTTTCATGGAAGGCGGAGGCGAAGGAGGAGGAGGAGGAGGAGGTCGTAAATCGATCGATGCAGCGGTTGCGATAGCGGAGAAGGCACCCATGTCTCTCACACCGAATAATACCTTTTCTTAGCCGTGTTCCAACGCCGGAATCGAAGTGGGGTCGACAGTTGTCGCTTTGGAATAGCGTATCCCGCTCCGAGTCGGTCTTCACCGACCAGGGTTGAACTCAACTCCGTCATCGCCACGGAATAGCTTATCCCGCTCCGAGTCGGTCTTCGTCGGCTATTATTGAACTCAATTTTATCGTATCGAGCGACTTCGTTCGTCGTACCGTACAGACGAGTAGATATTACGTGGTCGGTGCCGTGAGAAGTCATCTCTTTACTGGTCCCCATCCAACGACACAGGCACTTCCACCTCAGCGGATAAGAGGTGCACGTAAGAAATGTGAGTGCGAATATAATGAGAGGAGGCCGAGTTTACCGTGTCGGCTGTAGTTTTGACTGAGTCAACATCTCAGCATCGAAGCTTCTTTCTTTTCTGAGTCCAACTTGCTCTGCATGTCAGAATAATAGGCAGTTGAAGATGGAAAGTCTTCGGTTGACTAGTCCATATGGCCGAATCTTTATTCGAATATTCCAATTCAGATAAAATGAAATCCACATGCATTTTATCCAACATTATTGAAACTCTCAGCCACCTCCTTCTTCAAATAAAACTTAGGTTAAATCTAATTATAAGATAATCTAAATTATTATTATTTTTGTTTTTTCTTTCTTGTATTGCTCCTCTTAATTTAGAACGATAATGAATTACATGGAAGGTGTTGATTAATTTGGCTGGTAAAATCTTGAGCTTCAATCATGTCAAAAAATTATTGATTAAACTATAATCCTAATAATTTGAAGTGAAATTAGTTATATATTAATTTGGTTGATATTAAAAAAAGAAATAGAAAAAAAAGATAAATGGGCTCCAATTGGGCATTGGCCCATAAAAGGTCTAAATTAGGCTTTAATGAGTTGTGGCCCATAAGAGGCTCCTTAAGGCTTCAGCTACTGCTTAAGAAATCACGCCAATCGAGATCCACTCTTGGACTTTCGTTGATTGGGCTTTGGCCTGTAGAGGTATATATATGGCTTGGCTCCATGAATCCCGCCCGCGAAGACTCCCGCTCGTTGGAAGAGGACGAGACGAGGAGGAGGAGGAGACCGGTGATGCCGGAAATGGCGACAGAAGGCAACGGAGGCTGCGACGCTCGGGATTGGGACGAAGAAGGCTACAGGAAGAGCATTCTGCAGGAGAGGGAGCTCCGATGTCGAACCGTCTTTAGGACCGCATTCGCACCCTCCCAAAGCCCTAACCCCGAAACCGTCGTCGTCGCCTCCAGCGATGGTGCCGTCGCTTCGTACTCCTTGGCGTCCTGCATTTCCGCTACCTCTCAGGTAATCGGTTTTATTTTTGTCATAATGAAATGTTGACGTAACCCTCAACTTGTTTGTTTCAATGCCTTACCGAAGGAGAGCTGCTGCTTGTAGCCATGCTTTAGCTAAACTCTGTAATCTTTAGTGAGCTAGCACTCGTATGCACAGATAAGTGAAGAGTACGGGCGGAAGAAAACATGAAAGAAAGATAAGGAAAGACGAGACCACTCTCCTTTGGTAGTAGAAAAGTTGCTAGAATCTTTTGTTGATGCATTTGGTATGGAGCTTATCATATGGCAATTTCAGATACTGACATTGAATTGCAGATGAAGATGCCTTGTGTTTTTTTATCTTGCAAAGGAAATGTATTTTAGTGGTCATATGCGATGTTGTGTCAAGATTTGTTCGTGATATTCTATATAACAAAGCCATGATGTCCAAACTATTTAGGGTTGGGGACATGGATATTTTCTTTGTCATGATATTCTATATGAGCTTTTTTTTATCTTTCATGGAGTTGGATTCTGTTTCAGAAGAATAGGCATGCTCTCATTTTAACAAGCAAGGACCGGAATTATACAACCAAATTTCTTTCCAAAATTTTGCTGACTTTGCCCCCCCCTTTTCTATTTTGCAGCCTATGCATGTAGATAAGGTTGTCAATCAAAAGTAAGTATGTTGTTCTGCTCATTACAATGTGTTTTCAGAATTGGAAGAGCATTGCCTCTGGTGATCTAATTGCCCTTTACTTTCTGATGTTAGAACTCTTCCTGGTCCTTTACTGGCTGAGCCACTTTTTATCATTAAAGGGCACAAGGGCCCTGCATATGATTTGAAGTTCTATTGGCAAGGAGAGGAATGTTTACTTTTCAGGTCTGTATAATAATAATAATCCAATACCGATCACACATTTGCTTATCTATTAACATGGGTTCTGCTTTTGTTTCAAACCTGGTAATTACTTCATTCATTATTGTTTTGCACTGTTTTTTGAAAGGATCAGAATGCCTGGTTGGACATGGTATTTGCCCTTGAGATCCAATTAAACTGTATGTACTGGCTAGGCAGATCAACAATGTAGACTATGTTGGAAAACAAAAGTAAAAGGTCATGAACGTTAAGAAAGTAAAAGATTTGATGTATATAAAAAGAAGGGGCTCTCTGATTTTCCTAGTCGGAGCAATTTGTCTACATGTATTTGAAATCCATCAAACAATGTCTTAATGTATGATGATTGACAAGCAAAGGATACCATGTCAGAAGCAAGTCGACATGGCATCAGCTAGGTTCAGAGTCTAAATTTTTTACCTCTGTTCTACACTTCTTAAAATTTACCACCAATATATAATTTTTTCCCTTCTCTCTCTCTCTCTCTCTCTCTCTCTCTCACATCAGGCACTATTTTCAGTTGGAGACAGTTGCAGTCTTAATGTTCCTATTGTCAGTAATATCTCGATGTTGCCAGCACTTGTTAAAACATGCTTGTAGTAACATCTGATGTTTAAGCTGCTAGTGTCGGCGGTCACATCTGATTTTGTGTTGTTATCAACTTGTTGTTGCTATGTTAACATCACCACAGATTTCACTGTTGTTACCAGGAGTACAGTAATTCTTTGGATATAGCAATTCTAGATGCTGCAGTAGTGATTTGAGCAGTGTTGTTAACTACCTGCTTCTAAAATGCCAGCAGTAGTGGCAGCATAACTTTGATGTGTGATATAGCATACTTAAATTCCATAATGGTGTTGAACTTTATGTTTTAAATTGAATTGTTCTTGTCAAGGTTCGCAATACCGTACCGTACCGGAGTTTCGACCGGGGCTCGGTACCGGTACGGTACGGTATACCGCTCGGTACACCCAGGTGTACCGAGCGGTATATTCAGGCGTGCCGAGCACTGTAGCAGTGCTACAGTACTGCTACAGTGTCGGAACGGTACCATATGGTCCGCGTACCGAAAGTCTGGCGGACCGGTACGTACCGCCCGTACCGGGCGGTACGGATCGGTACTGCAAACCATGGTTCTTGTCACGTCTCAGTACATGCTATCAAAGCTGCACTGATTTAAAAAGGATCTGTCCTGTAGGTATTGTGTCATTCAGAACCTGATAATAACTAGTCTCAGTGTGGCTATTGCAGAGATATTTTAATTTATCTCTGATGTTATCGCTTGTAAAGAATCGGTTATGGTGGTTAGAAAAGGAATTTAAGATTGAATTTGGTCAAGCAAAAGAAAGGTTAAATTGCAAGAGTTGAAAGAATTGAGGAAATGTGTCACTGTTTTTGGGGCAACAGACGAGGGTGTACACGATGATGTTCATGCGGTGGTGCTTAACATGGGAATTAGTTCTACGTTGAATATGCAAAAACAATCTCACATTTGTCTGCTGGATAAGGTTATTGCTTTGGATCCTGAGGTGGAAATCTAAGATATGAAATCAAACAAATCATGATGAAAGTGCATTGTGTTGCTTGATGGATCAATTGAAGGGAACTCTGCTAACTAAATTTTTAAAAACTACAAAATAATGCTTTAAGTGGTTAGGCATTATGGTCATACTTTTGTAGGGCCAAATCATATAACCTTTGGGTCTCACTCTCGAGGAAGTGTGGGATAGCATTTCAAAATTGTAAGAAATTTCATACTTCTTTCATCTATGTTGAGGATAACTCCATGTTTGCTATCTCTTGACTGAAACAAGATCCAGTCCCTTTTTCTTTGGCCGCTATAGGTTAGGGAGATGGGAAGAGAATTTGTGTCCGTTTGTATTTCTCAGATATTCAGGAAGCTAGCAAGTAAACCGATTTGGTTTCTGTGTTTTGGTTATGGTGTATTGGTAAAATCAGGTATTTCTAGCATTTACTGAGTCATTTTTCTCTCTCACTTGGAGGACTATACTTGTAGGATTTAAATAGGTGGTGATAGTGTGGGATGCTATTAGTTGAGGCCCATTTACATCACCATTTCCTCCTTGTGCCTGCACACAGAAAATCATGGGAGGACTATGCATGCTCTGTTGTGATAGATCCTTGGACCAACACGAAAGAAACTACAGATCTTACAAGCAGTATTATCTTGGTACTAGTTTCTTGAGGTTCATTTATGCTTTTAATGAAGTGCACACCATCAGGTACATTTTCAAGTAATCTGAGACGTGTACTAAGGAAGTGGAGAAGCAGCATGTGATGCAAATTCTCATTAAAGATGCATCATATGATGTTGCAGCTTTCAAGTTGGTTAAAGAGAAGTGGTCAAAAATCTTTTAGATCTCCTGTGCTGCCCACTTAGACGCTTGAAGTTATTAGGACGTTATTTAAAATGCAAAATGAGATTACTAAAGCAAAGGCTCTCTTTGTCTCATATGACACTATTCTTGACATTGACAAGGCATTGTACAGACAGAGATAATTATAATGACATTTGACAAATATCTAAATATGACAAATATGTGCTTGTTTTGCTGCAAATTATGGCCATTGCACTAATATATTTGGAAAATTTAGTACTTTTTCCATGTTGTGCAGTTGTGGTGATGATGGTCACTTACGGGGATGGAATTGGAAGGAACTGCTGAATTCTGACATTCATGGGGATATGCAAGGTAATGAATGTATGATAGAGCTCACCTTTTCCACTCTTCGAACTGAGTTAATACAGCTATAGGTAATAGCATTCACATTCACCAAAAGATAAATTATTATTGTCAACTTGGAAAAATGTGTCTGTGCTGCTAGTTCAGCTAAAATATTTTGATGATATATGCCTTTAAATATCTGATTAACATTATTGTATCCTTTTGTTCACCTGTGTATATGCTCCTGCATTGAACAAATAGCATCACCTTCAGAGACAGTTCTCCTAGGAAATAACTGTTGCCTTCCTTTTCTTCATTTCAATTTTTTTTTAATGTTCTTTCAGGAAATTCTTTGAAGCCAATACTTGACTTGGCAAATCCTCAACATGAGTAAGCATTCCACTCTATTTCCTCTCATATTTTATTAAAAAATGTTGCTAGCTAGATGAACAATATCCTACGTACTGTTTCTGAATAACAAAAGCACATTTCCAATACTAACTTTTTTTTTTAACAATTGTCATTGTGCTTTTAGCTTGAATTGTGATTTATGTGTATTTAACGTTTGAGAATGACAAGCCTCCTTGTTATGGTTGATCCTCTATAACTTGAGGGTTAGTGGCACGAAGCTACCAACTCTGCTTTTGGGGTAAACCTGAACATATTAATGCTTCCAGATCCAGCATTAGTAGGATCATGCATGGGACCATCCGGATTTAAGTTTAAGCTTTTCTCCAGAGGTTGTACATTGACACATTGACCAGGGACATTATAATGTAAAACTTTCTTACCTTCAGTGTGTTTTTAGCTGTTCTTATTTCATAGCTTCTTAATTTTTAACCAGACACTAATTGGTTGTGCATTTTATATGATAACATTAGCCTGTTATAGCTGACCCATTGACCTTTTAGGGCGTTGACATCTGAATCATGTAGTTATGAACTTATGATACTCTTATATATATATATATATGTTTATTCTAATTTGTGCATGTATGTATGTATGTATGTAGGTATGTATGTATGTATGCATGAATTAGTTTAGGTTAGACATTCATTTACTATATGCAAATCTCCTACTATTGATATCTGTGGACTTGTGTTTTGCACATGCCTGCTCTCTCGTCAATCATCTCATGCTTCAGAGCTATCTTCTTGAAGTTTTAGATGGTTTTTGTTTAGTTCCTTATTATTATGTATATTTTTTTTATGAATTCAAGTTCTTACCTTTTTCCTGTTTTAGGGGTCCTTGGGGTGCTCTATCTCCAATACCTGAAAACAATGCCATTGCAATTGACGAACAGGTTATTCTTTTAAATATTTTTCTCTTGTTTGTGATCCTTTTTTCGTTTTGATGATTAGGTAAACAACCTGTTTATCTTTAGCTTTGATCATCTTTCTGACTTAGTTTTTTAGACAAGGGAGACTTCTTGTTTTTTTTTTCCAGTTCTGCAAAAGCTGATGCAATTATGGCAAAGAAAAATCTCAAAGAGAAATATTTTAGGTTCTTTTTGTAGCTAAAATTAAAAGAACCTACAATCATTATGGAACAGAGTGATTTGGAGGTTAAATCACTGGTGAAAAGTAAAAAAGGGAAAGATGGTGGAGAGTGGATACTGTAGAATGATAGGAGGAGAAAAACTAGTGAGAAGGCCAAATATGGACAAAAAGATAGTTGAACTTCAGAAGAAACAAACTGTCTTTCTTGAGAGAGAAGGCTCTTTTATACCTATAGCCTCATTGCATATATCTAACTAGGAACAAATAAAAGTTACATGTACATGTCTAACATAATTCCCAGGGGTAATTACAGATTATCGCCTATAATTAATTATGATTAGCATCTCGATCCATGTACTTTAAAAAGTAACATTGGGGTCCTTATACTTACGAAAGTGAAACATTTAACTTCAATTCTCCTTATGTTAATTTCATCGACGGAAAAAATCGCATGTGTTGTCACGTGTAAAAAGGGCGTGAATGGAAAGGATAAAAATATAATTTCATTATCTTTTAAATTATTAATTTTATATAAACTTTTCGTCCGTCGCTCACCCACCTCACTTGCTCGCCCGTTGCACTGCTCACTCGACACGTGCCCATAGCAAACTCTTTGGCATCAAGGTGCGGCTGGCGAGCGAGTGTGGTGAGCGAGCAAGTGCGATGGGCAAGTGGGTTGGAAAGAGGAGACGAGTAGGAAATCAGTCAGGGCAAAAAATTTATATAAAATTAATAATTTAAAAGATAATAAAATTATATTTTTCTCCTTTCCAATCATGTCCTTTTTGGACGTGACAACACGTGAGTTTTTTTACGTCGATGAAATTAACAACGTAAGAAGAATTGGGATTAGATATTTCACTTTCGTAAGTGTAGGGACCTCAATGCTGCTTTTTAAAATGTAAGGATCGGGATACTAATCATAATTAACTACAAGAGGTAATCTGTAATTACCCCCAGTGATTTAAAAAGCGCTAGGCGCCAAGGTCCAAAAACGCCCGAGGCGCTCGCCCGAGCGAAGCGATGCGCTAAAATAAAAAAAAATATATATAATTAATAAATATAATTATTTAAAATTTTAAATAAAAATATGCTATTAAATTAAGAAAATCTATTAACAGTATTGAAAATTAATCATTTCAAATAAACTTAATATTAACAGTATACTGTATACTGAGCCTGCTGACTGAGAAACGAGGAAGCAGCGGCAGCGGCCAGCGGCGAGCAACGGTAGCAACAGCGGGAGCGACGAGTAGCGGGAGGCGCGAGCGGCGACAGCGACAGCGACAGCGGCGAGCAGCAGTAGCGGGAGCAGGAGCGGCGAGCAGCGGGAGGCGCAAGTGGCGACAGAGGTAGCGTTTGCGAGCAGCGACAGCGACGAGCGACAACAGGAACGACGAGCAGCAGGAGGCGCGAGCGACGACAGAGGCAGCGTTTGCGAGCAGCGACAGCGGCGAGCAGCGAGATCGGGATCGGGAGTGGCAGCGGTAGCGGGTTAGGGTTGGGTAAGGGTTATATCGGTTTAGTTGGTTCGATTGAACCAACTAACCAATCGAACCAAGACCGAACCAGACCTAAAATCCTGGTTCGGTCGCCTTGGTTTACCCAGGCGCTCGCTCGAAGCGCCCAGCGCCCAAGCGGCGCCTGTTTGAAGCGCGTTACCTGGGAGATTAGCGAGGCGCTCGGGCCTCGCCTCGTCTCGCCTGAGCGCCTTTTTCAATCACTGATTACCCCTAATTCCCATATGTCTAGCATATGTTTAACATAATTCCCAAATGTCTAGCGTAATTCATCCAATCATATCAACATATAGCAACCTCCAGTGCATGTATACCTGAAGGAGATTAACTAATTTTTTTATTGCAAAAATCATGATTCATGTTCTTCGGCTACAATCCTCTGACTTCTCTAGTGAACTACTTTCCTACTTGTAATCTCTCTGCACTTCCATTTCTTAACTCTTCTCATTTGTTAAAAAGTTGCACATTGGCTTCCATCAGATGAAAATCATGTGGAGAATGTTTTCAGCAATCTTTATGCACTGTACTCTTCATGTGGTTTCTGACCACATTAGTTACCAATCCATTCATCCTTATCTGAGAACTCTATTCATGATCAACAAACCTTCAGATTGGTTCAGCTTTAGAAATTCCAATACTTAGCACTACAATGATGCCATTAAAGATTAGAATATGCTTTAGTCTGTTCTTGGCCCTCTTCTACTCTGACCAAGAATGTCTCAACTTGCCATTAGAGGAGGCCATTCCTGGGCCTGTCTGATATTACAAGAGATAGAGGTCATGTGTCTCTTCCTCAGATCAGCATTTTCATCCCTCCCCTTGGTCACTATGTACTTTGCTAACCATCCAAACAGTTACGTAAACCCACTTGGTTCTTTTTTATGTTGCTTTTAACATTAAAATGTTTTACAATATGACATATCATTTATCTACTTATTCATATGTGTGTGACCAAGTCTAGTGTTTAAACAGGAAGGCTCTGTTTTTTCAGCTGCTGGTGATGCTTGTGCATACTCTTGGGATGTGGTAACCTATCTTATGTATCTTTTAATGGCAAATGTATTTTTGGATGGTTAACACGCTCAAATTATTGGTGAATTTAATATTTTGCCAGCTATGGCTGCTAAGCATCTTATGAAATCTGTTGCTACTTAGGAAACAGGAAAACAAAAAATGGTCTTCAAGGGCCATGCAGACTATTTGCATTGTATCACTGCTCGTAAATCTTGTCATCAGGTTAGTTGATGTTATTCCTTTTTCTTTGTTGGCTAACCCCCTTTTTCATTAGAGACCTGGTTAGTACTTTTGGTGGTTAAATTTGGTTAAATTTCTTTGTTTAATTTGACAGAAATTTCTTCGAAAATACCATGACTACTGTGAACAATTCTATTAACATGCCTACTGATGCTAGTAGTGGACATGGCAACATCACAATCTTACAATTTCACTAAGTTTGTTTGCATACAGTTGGATTTCAGCCATGACAACCATGATGCAATTTTCCTATAGACATGGAACAGGGTGGGAGGGACATCGAAGTAAGGCATCATTCAGACAGAAGGGGGCTAATCGAATACATTATCTGGATAAAGATAATTTTTATTATATGAAAATTATCACTCTAAAAATTTGCGTGCCTTATTGGAATTTAATCAACCAGTATACCAATAGATATACAAAAGTTATAGAGAGATGTCCTTTTCCCTTGTTAACTATATATATTCATGCTTTATACCATAGTAGAATATTAAAACAATATGCTTTATATCTTAGTAAAATGCTGTTTTTATTATAGATGGGTACATATGGCAAAGTGCAAACTCATCTATTTAAAGACAAAATATGCTTGAAAGCAAGAAATGCAATTTCGTTCAGACAGGTACATTGACGTTAAATACTGCACTGAGTGGTATCTAATGATTTCGCTGCAAACTGATAAATTAAGTGGTCCACATGTGGTACAGGGCATATCGCTGCTCGATCTGTGACCGGGCCATATGTTCACTTTGTTATATACTTATTTAACCTTAAACCTCATGCCCTCCTCCCCATGCATCTTGACTCCCCTCTCTTGACTGGTGGTACTCTTCTTCTCATCCTCCACCATTGTTGTCTCCCTCCTCATGCTCCTCCTCTACGTTGCCTCCATTGATTCCTCCTTCTCCCCTCTTTGCTCTTCTTCTCAACTGCCTCCTCCCATCCTTATCCTTTTCTCTGTCGTCATTTCCTTCTCTCCTTGTCTTCCTGCTCCCCCTTTTTTGTATTGTGGGTATGCTTGAACGGATCGGACCCATACCATTCCAACCATGGAATGACCAGGCTGGTATGGGTCTGTTAACTGTGCTGCCCCTTTTTTGTATTGTGGGTATGCTTGAACAGATCGGACCCATACCATTCCAACCATGGAATGGCCAGGCTGGTATGGGTCTGTTTACTGAATTCGAAAACCTTGCTTGAAAGTACATAATATAAGTTCAATAGGTAGAATGTAGAACTGGTACCATTTAGGTGCACAAGATTATTTCACTGTCCTCAGCACCGAAAAAACAAAGTTAAGGGCATTCTGCCCAACTTAATATTTCTATTAATTTTTTAAATGAGAAGGATACTAACTAAAGAAACAAAGCACTACAGTCCCTGCTAAATATGTGCTTAGCTGCAAGTGATACATCTGTTTTGTTCTCACTCAAAACATTTTTTTTTTTCAATTGGTAGCATTCTATTAATAAATGCTAATAAAACTGCCTGCAAGACCTTGTCTTTTTTGTGCCAAATGAACATTTTCATCATTAAGAAAGTGGATGCCATCATGCTGAGCATGTTTATTATTATTCAACTCATGTTCATGCCTACTGTAATTTCCTCACAGTATATGTCAGATTAAGGTTCTGTGCCTCTGTCATCCATTATATAACCTTTCAACTTTTTGTCTCTTGAAGCTCCAAGCATTACTATATCTCCCTACTTTATACATGTTGTGTAATTGTTATTAGATATATTATGATGTAAATGACATCTTTTCTCTACTAATTCTTTTTTGTGTTTTTTCTCTGAAGATTATAACAGGTTCAGAGGATGGAACAACACGAATCTGGGGTGAGCTTGGAGACTTACTATCATTTTTCCTATACATTGCCATAATTTTGCATGTGTATTTGCTAGTCTTTCAACATACTTTCAAGAAGACAGGACTAGTACAATGTAATGTCTAAATGTTGATACACAGTTTCTAGCAATATATTAGATCAAATTTCTGAACTAAATTAACGAGCTACAATATCAGAACATGAAAATGTTGCTAGTCTGAGACAAGAATCCTAAAGTAGAAGCTGGGAGAAGGTTAAATTTACAAATGGTTCTGTATAATTTTCTGAAAGTTCTGATTTACTGGGTAAAATATTTCTCCTTTCTCTTTCTTGCGACCAAGAGTTCAGACAGTTTGCCTCATAAATTATATCTGAAAAAAAAAAGTCTTTTTAGCCTTGAGACTCTCAATGAATTGTAAACATATTTAGGACTCAAATGAGCCCAGTTGGTCTGAAGCTGCTCTTAGAGACAACTCTAGCGTTCAAGGTCATGTAGAGGGGAATTTTAAATAGGAGACTTATATTGTGTTAGGGATTTGTGTCATATTCTAGGTTACTGTTGTCTCGTTGATGTGATGATGCTGACAATTCAAAATGAGGTCTGCTTCTTTGCATTGATCAGTGGTATGACAAACATGCACTGCAGATTATATTGTGGTACCTAATATTTTTATAAGAAATCTTTAAGATTTTTTTGTTATTTCTTTTCCTGTAGTTATAATGTCTGCTATCTGTTGCTTCAGGTTTTATCTTTATTTTCTTGTCAAATTTACTTTTAAAACGGATGCTTTTTTGCTTCAGGAGTTAGCCTCTCACAGTTTCAAGTAAAAATTTCTTCCATTGGTAAATAATATACATTAAAAGAAAAGAAAATATAGGGAAAGGGTGGAAATTGATTCATTTGATTATTTGATAGGCTCTACAATTCACAAAAAAGGTCTAGTTCTATCTCACTTGAACTGGCTTCTTTGGACTCACGGAAATATATTTTTTGATTAAAATCTACAAAACATTCCATTGTAAAGACAAACTGGAACTGTGACAAAACATTTTGAATTTTTGAGAACTGTATGCGATCAGGAAGTTGAGAAAGTTATCAAAATCTTCATGCCCTCAAAGTACGTGATTAACTCAGTAAACTGAAAGGGCCTGTGAAAAGCTAAAGCAGAATGACGAAATCAGAGAAGATGACAAAGATTGAGTGGTTGATTTCATAGGGGTTAAGTTGCCTTCCATCACTAGTTTTTGTATCTTAATGATTGGCATTCTGTTCACCATCTCAGTTTAATTATGGAGATTAGGATGAGGAAATGCTAACCTTTTGCAGTATTTTGTACCCTTTGCTATTATATGATTTGAGATATGTGATATATATTCGTACATGTTCTCTATATTTTGCATGATTATGTACGTATGTGATTTTCTGATGTGTATAGCTCAAAATGACATATTTTAGATTGTAGAAGTGGAATTTGCACACAAGTTATACGTCCAGAGAAGAACTTTAAGTCTAAGGTGTCTTCATGGGTCAGCTGTGTTGCCACTGATACAAGTGAAAGTTGGCTGGTATTATCTTTTTTTGTACTGAGTACCAATTACTTTCAGTTTTCATTGTTACTTTCAGTAGAAGTTAGTTTTCATTTTTATTTTGAAATATCAGGGATATGATACATATATATATATATATATCATGACAAAATATGTGATTATCTTTTATGATAAATAATAATTAACTAGCACCCTAACCTGTTCACTATGGAAGAGATTATTGCAAGAACTTATGAAATATAAATTAATTAATATTATGTTTAATTTCATTAAATATAATTTAATAATTAATACAAACAACATAATATTATATCTAATCATATATTTATCCAATCTATAATCAAAAGTTTCGACATTCAACCAGTATGTAGTACAGATTCAAGAAGTAATTCATAATATTCATGTTTATAAGTGATATGTACCTTAATATGTTCTGAAGTACTCAGACAGTCAGACTAGTCCCATTGTTTGATGGGATGCTACAAAAGTTTTGACGTGACCATGTTCATAGGTGTACCTCTGAGCCACCAGGCTCCACATCAATCAGAGCCTCAAACACTGGTTTTCCATTTTTTCTCTTTGGAAAACGAATGTCAAAACAAACTTCTAGATTTAAATGATATATCAGGATAATCTTAGCTATATCATAATGCAGGACATAATGATTTTTTAATAAATTATTAGTACTGCTAGTGGATACACTGTGTTGCTTCTTCCTGGAATTTGCTGCGACAGTGTACATGTGACCCTTATGCAGATAATCTTTATTCGCATCAAAGTAGTACATGATATGCATCTTGGTTTACTTCTGAACTATACTGCATTCTTTTATTTTTGAATGACAAAAATTAATATGATATTCTAATCAATTTTGCTTTTCAGGCTTGTGGTACTAGTACTGGGTTATCAGTTTGGAGTCTGCTATCTAGTGAATGCATTTTCAGCATAAATAGTCATTCCCCGGTGCAAGATTTACTGTTTGATGATCACCAAGTAAGTTCATGCAATTATCAAAGCATGCTCAGACTTACACATCTAGGCATGCCATATTTTGATGTTCCCATTTATGTTTTGGAATTCCTTGATGCGAGGGAATGTGTGTGTTTTTATATGCCATACCCAGTTTTGACATACTTTCACTTTTTCCTTGAAGCAAGAATTTTTATTTGGAAAGACATTTCTTTCAATTGTTATTGTTGATTTAATTGAATGGATTATTTAGGTAGATCATATTCAGCTTATCCTATTAATTTGTTGGATTGGTGAAGTTTTTCCAATCATAAAAATTCTTTTATGATTGGAAGGTACTCTTAAGTAGTTTACTAGCTCCATTTCGAACTGCTCCGCTAGTTGTTCACCAAAAGTTTCTTCCTTTACGTGTGATAATCATACAATAATTGTGCATTAAACTGTAGCATCACAAAAATCAATGGTGGTAGTCGTGTTACAGATTTTTATGATCTTTGTTCAACTTTCATGCTTGATACAGAAAAACATAGTGCATAAGAAAATCTACATGTGAATTCTGTTGCCTTTTTCATCAAGTCTCATTCTTTATTCTGTAACTACCTCAGAGTTCTTTTTTATTTTATTTGCATTGAATTGCAAATCCACAATGATGATGGTTTGTCCAATAAATTTTAAGCTGAAAATCGGTTTAAATGTGCATTCTGCAACTGTAATTGCAGAATTTGATCAAAATTTGATTAAGTTTAACTTGAAAAGTAACAGAATAGTTTTATTTTTTTTACCGACAGGAAGACGACCTGTCAGTATTCAGATAAGATAGCCGAGAATACATGCAACTTTCATATATCAATTATGTGAAGTCATAGCTTCTAATAAGTTTTTGATTGATGAACTTGTAATTGGTTTCTGTTTTTGGCCCTTCAACCATTCAGATCCTGGCTGTGGGATCGGAGCCTGTGCTCACACGTTTCAGCATCAATGGAGCTGCACTTTCACAAATAAAATGTGCACCTCAGTCGGCATTTTCCGTATCCCTTCACCCTTCTGGAGTATGTTTCTTTTCTTTCCAATTATTTATCCCAAAGAATTATACCATGTCATACTCATTCTTTTCCCAAAGGAGATAAATTTACTCAGTAGATGAGTACCAAAAACACCCTTAGCATCTGAAGATATCAATTTACAAAACTCAAAAATGAAAGCTTTCGTTCCACAAAAACATGGACTCAGTGCCCCTGGAGAAAATGCTACATAGTTACAGCATTGTCGATAGTCCTTGCAAAAAAAAAAAATGTCATGCTCCTTGATATTGTCCTTTGTCATTGTAACTTTGTAACCACAACCAAGCTGCATGCCCTCTACCAATTGCTGTTGTGTTTACATACCCTCTTCCTACTTGGTATTCAGGTTATAGCGATTGGTGGCTATGGCGCACTGGTGGACGTCTTATCACAATACGGGAGCCATCTGTGCACGTTTTGCTGTGCAGGCTTGGATACATGACAGAAGGTATTATTGGTTTGTTGCACCGAGATCCAATTCATGCTATCTACGCTTGCCTCGACCTAATGTTTTATGACCAAGGATTAGCTTCAGAGAGTGAAAAGCCTTCCCCCGACTTCTCCAAGGATCCTTTGTATGGGATCTTTTCTCCAGATCTTCTCGTGCTGTACCATCTTCATACACTCTGCACGGGATTTTTCTCTCGAGCATGGAGACCTGTAATAGAGTTTGACCATGTTGATCCAAGTTTCAGACGAATGGGTCAGTAGCTGAATCCGTACAGTAGTGTTGCTAGAACTGCCCCTTACTGTGTGCTCCGAGCATCAGGATGAATAATACGTTTGGTGGGGGGGGGGGGGGGGGGTTTCTTTTCTGGCCATGCCAAGGAATGTGGATTAAACAGCTATTTAGTAGGTACGGTCATTCAGATAGGCTGTGATTTTGGCATTTGTGATTCGATGCGAATGCTGTAATTGGCTGACTGTGGCTCTTTGCCAAGGCCGAGTCTTCTTTTCGCATTGATGCTGGGTGCTTGGTGATCAAGGGTACACTAGGCTAAGGTGTAAGAAGCATTCCTTGCCATACCGTGTCAAACATGAACTCTTCGGCTTTGTGGTACATCTTAGTAACATTATAGCTAATGACACCACCATATCAAACATTCCTAACACTAGTCATGGCTTGGGAGAAATGTACCATATACTAGAATAAAATAACACGAGGATGGCACTTTCCTTCAGCTTCAAACGAAATATTTTAACCCGTGATACTTCATGGTAATACTATAATAAAAAATGGATATGGGTTTATATGGAAAGATAAGAAAAAATAATTTAAATGGTTTAAAAGACTTATAGACATTAAAAGTAACTGTATATTAGTAAATTAATTAAAAATATAACTATTTATAGATTTTATTTAAGCATAACTAATTATAAATTTTAATCTCAATAAAAAAAAAATCATTTGACCGATCCCTAATGGAGATTTTACTGCCCTGTTATTATTGTTGGGGAAGGCAGTCCCCGTCACACTCCTTGAACTAAGGAAATTACCAAAAGTTCACTAAACCACATGTGCGATCAGCTGCTCGTTAACACAAACATCAACTCCTGACAGTAATCAGACCAAACGAGTGATCATATATACACAAATTTCCAACTACTCAAGATTGGGTCTCCTAACCGACGTGGCAGCACAGGGGCATAAAATCCAGGCTTTGCAAAATCTGGTCTAACAAGCCAACGAGGAAGATATCCTAAAGATACCATCGGCTCTCTCTCATGCAGCTCAAGCAATAGTGACAATTTCACCCCGTGCACCTGTAACATCAGGTAACCAATTAAGCATTTAAGGAGAAAAAGATGGACCCTTAGATAAATTAAAGCATAAAGGGATCAGTCATATATCCAATTACATCTCTCAAAAATCTCTTTCGCTAGTAGCAACAGTGAATCCGTCTCTTCAGCCATCTTTGAGATCTTCTCTGCCTCCTTCACTGCTTCAGAAGCCAAGAATGATTTGGCTTCTGAGTCGGCTATTTTGTAAGCAGCAGTTATTGCTGCTTCCTTCATTGGATCTATGGAGTTTGCCGGCCCAGAGGTCTGAGGTACCCGAGCACGACTTGCAAGTTCTTTTTGTTTTGGGGTTGGAGTTTTTGTTGCAAAGCAGGATTCTTTGAGCCTGTACCCCTTTTGGACCTACATTTTGTGCTTGCATGACATGAAAAGCCAGCTTAATTGCATCTAAAGAACACAATTTTTATGGGTTCATGCAGCAACAATTTTGTTTTCCCACCTTACAACAACATAATTTCTGAGCAAAATAAATGCAAAAGATGTGCTACAAAAAAAAAACAGATCTATTCTTGGAGACCACCCGATAGCTAATCCATCCACTAAAGAGAACAAAAAGCTCTTAAGCCCGCTGCCTATCTAGAAAGCATGGTCAACAATCTTTGAGGGTGAGTAATAGTCTTCCTAAAAATAGTAACTAATAACTAAGGACCAAAACGAAAAGACTAAAGCTAGTTAACCAAGCTACTCCCATGTCCCCTAAACTTTTCCAAACCTCAATACGGATACCATAAAGCCCCACACTCTTAATTATTTTCATCTTCTTTAATGCGTCTTTTATTTCATTAGCTCTTATTTTACGAACAAATATATGATTATTAAATTTACCACTATTATTTATCGTTAAATCTAAGTCCTATGTGGAATATTCATTAAATAATTTTTTAAAATATTTTTTTCATCCTTCCTTAATCTTATTATCATTAACAAGTATTATTTGATCTTCATCTTTAATGCATCTAATATTATCAATATCCTTACACTTACTTTCCCTAGCCTTAGCAATTCGACATATATCTTTTTTCATCGTCTTTAATACCTAATTTATAACAAAAATTATCATAAGCTTTTTTATCTTGCCATATTAGTCGCTTTTTTAACCTCTTTTAGATCCTTTATATATTTTAATTTTTCTCATATTTACAATTTTATCAATCTTTAAAACATGATCTTTTAGTAAAAATTGCTTTTTAAACTTCCTCGCACCACCACTAACTCTCTCTTATTGTTACACTTCTATCTTTAGTTTTACTAAGAATCTCCTTTGTTAAACTCCTAATCTTATAAAACATTATATTCACAATTCTTACAAATAATTTTATCTACCTTTATAGTGAGAAAAAAGTCTATCTGACTACAATTATGACCACTCTTACAAATAATCAAATGTTCATCTCTCGTCTTAAAGTGAGTATTTACAATTATAAAATCATATGAAGTTGCCAAATCCAAAATCATACACCATATTCATTTCTCTCCCCATAACCCAATCCCCAATGCACCTCTTTATATTCACCATATGTTTTCCCTACATGGCCATTCACATCTTCTTTAATTATAAGTTTTTCGATTGCAGGAATTCCTTAAATGATATCATCTAAGCTTTCACAAAATTCTCTTTTGATTTGATCATCCAATCAGACTTGAGAGGCATAAGCACTAATAACATTCAAAACATCTTGTCCTTTCACAAATTTTAGAACTATAATTCTATCTCTAAATCTTTTTATATCTACAACAATGTTCTTAAGATCCTTATTAACAACTATTCCTATACCATTTCCATATTTAACCTTTTTAGTATATCAAATTTTAAATCCAGTACTATCAATCTCTCTAAATTTTTCCTTTCACCCATTTAGTTTCTTATAAGCAAATAATATTTATTCTTTTTCTGTTCATAGTATCTATCAATTCTAATCCCTTTTCTTAAAGTGTTCCTATATTTCAAGATGTAACCTAACCCTCTATTCTTGGACTAGCTTCTTTAATCCTATTGGTCCAAAACAATGAGAGAACCCTTGTTTGCTTGGCACCACATCCAGGCGCCGATGTGATGGGCCGCTTCCAAGCAACCTTGTAGCCCACCGTTTGCAATTCGGGAGACCTAAGTGGAGAAAGTGCCTCGCATCACTTTCGGGTGGCGACCTGCCTCTATATTGAAATCAATTAAGCTCCATTTTCATAAGATCTAACAATTTTACGCTAGTTACTAGTGATCTAACGTAACCCTCCACCTTTTTTATCCAGGCTTGGGGTCGGCATTGGCAGTGTTCAAGTGGATTTTAGACTATATCAGATTATTACAAGGAAAAGCTGCCTAAGAACAAAGATCATGGATTTTGCTAAAAATTCAATTTGAATGCTATTGTTGATTTAAGAAAAATGTTAAAATACCATCAATTATCCTCATGAAAAAAATGTGCAACAATTTCTTATCCTAGAACTCCAGTGTCAATTATCATATGACCTTAGGTTCTTTTTTCCATCAAACAAACTATTAAGAATCTATGCAACCCAATTTGAGGCAAATTGTCAAATATTGATCTAATTAGTGTAGTAAAGTTCATTAACAACCATTAGCGTGATTCACCATTAGCGATGATCAAATTATTAGATTACTGATTATCAAACCTAGAAATAGCATTTTATACAAGTACTTATCATGAAGTACCAATAATTAATAACTCAAAGCTAATTGTGCCATTAGTGTGCCTAGTTATGAGGCTAGATGCGTACAATATGGTAGTAAGATACAACGTACAAGTACTTGGTGAAAATAATTAAACAAAAATGTAAAAGTGTATGTAACTATAATTCACTTATGTTTAGCTTTATTATCGGAGTTATTAGTGTTATGTATTGTGACATACAATAACCAAAGATCGTGAAAAGGAAATGAAGGAAAACTATAGAGAAATAGAATACCAGCAAGGGAAAAGGAAAACACTGGACAGAAAGAGTGGCACTAAGAAAGCAGAGAAAAACAAAATATAAAACTACATGTCAAAACCAAATTTGTTTGATAACATATTGGCTTTTAATTTTTCTTCAAAAAAAATTATTTTATTGTTTCAGAAATGCAACATGAGCTGTTGCATCATTATTGATCTCACAGTTAGCTTTAAAGAGAAAACTAAATATCTCAGAGGCATGCCTTTTAAGCATCTGTTTTATGGCTGCTGTTCAGTTATGTGCCCCTTGTTGCCACTCATTAGTCAGAAACAGGGGAAGGAATCTAGTTTTATCAGCTGGACTCTGAAATGAACAATTTTATGAGCTGGACCTAGTTCAAGTGCCACACCTAATAAAAGTGGGCTAAGCGTGCAATGTACCCAGATATTGACACCAAGCATCAAGTGCTCGTTGTTGTTTGTCCACCATATATGAATCTGCAACCCCATATGTGGCTACCCTCTTTTGACTAACCACAATTAAATGTCACAAAAATGTTGGACTCTACTCAAAATGCATATAATATGAAAACAAAACAAAGACATGTTTTCTCACTTCAGTTGCCTCAAAAAACAACCATTAGCCCCTTCCTCAATCATAACTCACTGAAATAAATGCAAGGAAGAATCCATATATAAATATTCATTAAATCATATTTGATTTGAAATTTAAAAACATTAAATTCATCACAAGAACCACTTAACTTGCATTGCGAATATAAATGATGATCAAAATAACAGTCAAACTATGATATATAGAATACCAACCAATCAAATGGTGAGATTGCAACAACTGTTTACCTTTTCTATTTTATTTTGTGTAACAAGCCGCCTTAACTTTGAACTAAGCAACCTCCTAAAATTTTGTGGCACCTCATGCCTTTGCTGCATAAAATATCCAATAAGTCAACAGAGTTTTAACAAGCATACCAACAGGAAGGAATCAAGGATGGGAATTTACTATTGAAACAATATAACCATAGAAAATTTTCAACAACAAGGTGTTGCACCAAGTGCAGTTCTACAACCAGCACTGATCAGATACCAGTGCAAATACTTACCCTGTATATCACCAAGAAACTAATTACGTGAGTGAAGTGATGAAAATCAAAGTACCCATAGGATTGTAAGGTCAAGAATACAAGATATATTTGTGAGTACTGTGCTTTGAACAAAAAAGAACTACCTGTCATATGAAGTCTACAACACATGAAGATGAAATAAAATGAGTAATATAGCAAGGCACCCTAATCATAATATGTAAGCGCAGATATAAATAGACAACATAAGTTCCCTTCCAATCTTTAAACTTTCAAAACTTGAATATATCGGTTTATTTATTCTACAGCATACAGTAAGTTGATCGTAACAAGTATTTTCTTAATAGATTGCAAAGAAAAATATAATAAATGCAAATGCTATTCTAGTATGTTTGTCTTCTAGATCGGATGCATCTTAAGTTGACACAGTAATTGTGGCAGAACAAACATTTCTAAGTTGTCTATTGCAAGCCCCACATCTGATATTTATATGATTACTGTGAGAGATATAAGTTCATCTATAACAGACATTTTAAAGACTTGCAATTATAGGAATAACTACCCGTACATCTCATGCAGTTATATGATAAAGTTTTAAATTCAGTATCGTGGTCAATATGTTTGTCTTGGTCATGCTTATCACAAAAAAGTTGGTCCAAACACACTGATATACTCCATAAGTAGAAGTTAATATATGGTTTCCCATTCTCCCACTAACTATTTACTTAATTTTTTTCCTTTCAAGGAAAACGAAAAGGGTAGATGAAATAGAGCTGAATTACGCTAGGGCACATGGAGAATCCAAATTGGAGATGAACACCAGTAAACATGATAACTAACATTTAAAAACCTAGAAATCAAATTTTGGGAAATTTGATGACCCTTTTTGTATGTTTAAAAAATATGTGGATCGTGCAAAAGACAGATATGCATTAAACCAAGGTCTGCAATACCGAATGATACCCGCCCGTATCGGGCGGTACATACCGGTCCGTCAGTAGATACGGGCGGTACATACCCGTACAAGGCAGTACATACCGATCCGTCAACAATATAGACCGATACACGGACCGCTCGCTACCAAGCGGTACCGTCAATTGAGGCATTATCGTCGTCGATTGAAGCTTTATCGTTGACGGTGAAGCTTTATCGTCGACGGTGACTGAGGGAGAAGAAAGAAGAGGGAGAAGGGGAAGAAAGAAATAGCAAAAAAAAGGGAGAACCTAGAGATTGTCGCTCTCCGCTCGTCTATCAGCAACTTCTCATCCGCGCACGGGAGAAGAGGCATTGGCGTCACGGGGCGGAGAGAGGTGAATTTTTTTTTTTCTTCTCTTCTCAAGCGATGTTGCCTGCAAATTTTTTTTTTAAATCTGTGACGTCACCCGAGAAAGGAGGTGATGTTGTAATTTTTTTTTTTAATCTACGACGTCGCCTAAGCAATGTCACCCAAGAAGGAAGGCGATGTCGCCTCGGGTGACGCCGCATTTTTTTTAATCTGCGACGTCGCCCAAGAAGGGAGGCAACGTCGTAATTTTTTTTTTATCTACAATGTCGCCCGAGAAGAGAGGCGACATCGCCCCACATATAGGGCATGGTAAACTGAGTGGCATGGTATGCAATTTCGAATGGTACCGCCTGATACAGGCGGTACGTACCGGTTCGACGGCATACCGATACGCGGACCGCCCGCTACTGAACGGATCGTGCTACAGTGCTACAGTAAGAGGAAATAGCTCGGTACGCCCTAGTGTACCGCTCGATACGCCGGTACCGTACCATACCGAGCCAACCTCGAAACACCGATACGGTACGGTATTGCATACCTTGCTGAGCGGTTTACCTATATATATATACATACATAATTTATAATTATATATATATACCGAGCGGTATACCGAAACAAACCGCTCGGTATACAGTACGAAATTTCAATTCTTGCATTAAACTTTGTTAAAGACGATTTCAATTAAAGATGTGGTCTAAAAGACACGGCTAATGTGATGCTGTTATGAAATTCATTGCATAAATATCATGGCAAACCTAACAAACTCCAAAGCAAAGTTCGTAATTTTGTACCGAACCGGAGTTTCGAGCTTTGCTTGATAAGATACGATACGAGCATACCGCCAAGGTATACCTCTCGGTATATATATATATATATATAATAAAAGGAGGTGTATGCTGCCTCGGTGACGTTGCCTCCTTTTTCTTCTCATCTACGACGTTCGACAAAGACGTCGAAGGCCACAGACGTCTCCGGCCTTCGCCATGTTCTTGTAGTCTTCTCCTCATTTACGGAGTTCGGTGAAGACATCGAAGGCCGAAGACATCGAAGGTCGTAGACGTCTTCGGCCTTTGGCGAAAAACGCGGTGAAGAAGAAGCCGAGTTATCGCCTCTCCGTTACCTCCTGGATCGGGATCGTCGAGGGAGGGAGGCGCCGGGTCGGGAAGCGTCAAGGTTCTCCTGATTCTCCCTCTTCTTCGAGTGCCTTCTCCCTCTTCTCCCTTGACGCTTCTTCTTCCCTCGCCGCAACCAAGTTGATACCACCCAGTAGCGAGCAATCCGCGTACCGATCTACTAGCAGACCGGTATGTACCACCTGATATGGGCAGTATCATTCGAAATTAAAATCCTTGCTCCAGAGATTATCACACAAATATCTGAAATTATGACTGAAATAAGGTGGTGCATGGATCTTCAATACTACCAAAGCAAAAGGAACAAAACATCATGGATGATACTTTGACTAATATGACAATGATGGATTACAACTACAAAGGACAAACCTCTATGAAACTACAAATAGCACCAATTTCTGATCCATTGGATTCTTTCATCGATGCAAGTGCCTCAATTATCATGGTAGCATACCTGATATACAAAAATTGCATCACAACGTAAGAACAAATACTTCCATGCACATACAAAGTGCTGAAGATCACTAATGCATGCATAATCACAATTTAAAACGACAATACTTGATGGCTGGAAGTCATCTTAAATACAGAAAAAAGAGGAAACATCAGAACTATATAGAAGCTATAACAGACTGATTACATCCAGACAATCAGAAAATAAAGAAGCTATAACAATATAGTTTCTCCACCATCAGATATTAGTTGCAAAATCAGTTCACGGCTACAGAATACATTACATCTAAAGAAGGAAAAATAAAAAAGGAAAAGAAGAACACAAACAAGCACTCATTGTCTCCATAGTTGGGAATTTTGATACAGTAGCATTCAGGCATACATAAGGTGTCTATATCTCAAATGTAATAAGAAATTCACATTGCAGCACCATCATGACTAGTTGGTATTGTAGCATCTGAAATCCTATCACAACTGTGACTATCTTCCTGTTATAAGTGACATACTAATTCAAAAAGACCAAAAAAATGCATCTTCCAAGTTGACCTATGAATTCATAAAATTAACTCATGATTCATCTTCTAATTTGTAGCAAAGTGCAAACCTCATACTTCCAAAAGATACTGGCTTGTTATAATTAAAGCAATAATTTTGATGTCATCCTTGTTTAGTTCCAGGAAGAGAACACTGGATCAAAATGAAAAAGAAAAAGTCAAATAGAAGATTATCCACCTAGGAGGAGTTTTTGACTCTTGTAAGCTTTTTGTAGGATCTGCAATTACAGGTGCTGCATCTTTATGTGGGGCAGAGACAACAAGGCTCTTAGAGCTAGAAAGTGGAATGGCTGGAAGACTCTTTGCCTTTAGTGTCCTTATCTTTTCCCTGGAACCATGGCCACCAGCACTAATGCTCATATTCCTCCATTTGTCCTGAATGTGTTAAGTTAATTAATTGAATAACAACAACATAATCAACATAAGCAGGAAAACAGGCAGAAAATCTGTGGCAGAAACTAAGGCAAATGTGGTTATCTAAACGAAACTTAGGAGGTAAACTAAACATTATCGTGAAGAAGAGGAATTCCCCTAGTAATATGCAATGGGTAGTACTAATTAAGGATAAAAATGAAGAAACAAAATCAAACATAGATTAGATATGTCCAAAAGGGACCTAACGCATTGGTAAGGCAAGGTGAGCCAATTTTGATTAAAGCTAATAGTACATGCCTTGTAAGGTGAGGAAGACTTGATGAGAAAAAAATGGTGAATCACTTTGTGCCTCTTGAATCGTCTAATAATAATGCTTTAAAGGGAGCTCAATGGCCAGAAAGCATGCATTCATCTGAACTCAATAATTGGGGAAGCAGCATCTTATTGTCAGTCTTCGAAAGCAATATAACTAGAAAGAACTTTCTAGATCTGGAACTATCCAAAGCCAAATTCATAACTACACATGGATCGATAAAAAAATGTGGAGACCTAAAATCGATCACTTGATCAGAACTTCAAAGCCACATGTATTTCCACCAACCTCACTAGAAGAAATCCTAGTTGCAGCATTTAGAGGCAATATCCATTACAGATGCAAACATATACCCCTGGCATTGGATTGTAGAAAAGAATGCAATAACATGACTGAAAAGTTGGTTTGTGAACCTTTTCGCTCCTGGTAAGCATATGAAAAAGAAAACAACTTGATTCATGTAGTGATGCGAAGAAGAAACAGTTACCAACTTAATCCTCCCTCCCCACTCTTTCGTAGCTATATCTCAACTTCAGCATTACCACTATCAAATTCCACTTCCAAAACGAGAAAACGTGAAAAAAGGAATCGTAAACAACACCGATTCCTCACATGGTCTCTACCAAGAAACCGACAGACGACGAAAGAAAAAAGCTAACTAAAGCGCACAACCCTAAACGACTGAGACGGTGCTGGACTAGAAGGAGAGGGGAGAGGGGAGAGGACCTTGAGATCGATGTTCGAGCGGGTGGCGAGACAGCGGCTGAACTCGGGGTCCTTCTGGATGGTCCGCCATTTCCCGGCGCCGTGCTTTTCCACCCCCGCGCGCAGCGCCTCCTCCTCCTCCGCTGTCCACTTCTGCTTCGGAGCTCCCATCGTGTCACCTCCTCCTCTTGCTTCCTCTTCCTCCTCCTCCTCTTGCTTCCTCTCCTCACAACTCTCTTCCCCCGCTCCTCGCTTCTTCCTCTCTCTGTCTCCGAATCAAACCCCAATTCTTCCTCTTCTCCTCCTCGAAACGAAACAGAGGAAAGAAGCAACGTTTAGTTATTATGCTATTTTAATACCAATTATAATTACTGAACCTTTTTAAAACGGCGGGACCCACCGTAGCCAGACGAAATATAATTGGACGAAAGGTACGCGTCCTGTTTTTCGACGACAACACCCCACATAGAACAGCGTCTTATCATTGGAGTTCAATGCGGGTCCCACAAAGCTTCGCCATCTTAGCCCCATTGGCAAAGAGTCCGTCTCCTGGCTGGTGCCTTGGAGCGATACAGGTTGTTATCTGAACCCTGTCGAGTCGGCGGGGCTCGTGCAAATGGACGGCCGAGATCTGAGGAAAGCAACAACAGACCGGTGGGTCCGATTCCGTAGATTCATGCCAGGTGGAATCCGTTTCATCGGACGGTTTGATAGGAGAATTGCACATTTCTTATCAAAGACGAATCGGAGCGGATCCTTGATATCAACGCAAGTCTATATGTGAGGTCTCATCTTCCTCCCAACACCTGTTTGATGATTTATCCTTCCTCCTCACCGTTGCGGCCGAAGCTCCAGTAATAGTCTGCTCTGTTTTCCTGAAAGCAGCTGCTTTGTTTGTAATTCTTAGTAGTGACCACATAGTTTCTTGTCATGGTTTGATGATATTGCTCTGGAGAAACTTTCAGCTCCATGCAGATGATCCTGTCAAAGAATGGTCTCAAACCTAAATCAACTGAAGATTATAACTCCCCTGTTTTGCTTACAGTCAAACTCCAATGAGGCCCAAAAACCAACATAGAACAAAGAAAACACTCTCTTGTGAACTGCAGCAAAGCCTTTAAACAAGAGAACACCTCTATAGTGCTCCTACTGACGACCAGCTCTGTGCTATTCTCTAGAAGATTACTTTATAGCAGCCGGGCATATAACAGACAGCATAAACCTTCATCATGCCTGCCCAAAAATAGAGAGAACACTAGTGTTCCATATACAGCTTCTTCTTCATCTCTGCGCTTCTGCTTCTTCTGGTGAGCATGTGACTGTGGTTTGAATGCCTTGTCTACTAGTTTATAATCAGCAAGCTTTTCTTTGCCATCTATGATGTTAGCAGCAGTGAATGTCTTCGACAGTGTTGAATGATACCATGGAATGATTACATTCAGCCTTTGGCAACAATCTTTTAGCTTCTGAACAACTGGATCTGCAGAAGGTATGGCTCGTATCTACGTCATGTTTCTCTAGTTTGAAAGAGATTTCACTTTTTGATTTGACACATAAATGGATTTTTGGAACTAATTTATATACACTTGATGATTCTGATACTTGCATCACGAAGAACACATCATGGACAACTTGAGTTGGGAGAATCCGGTGGCTATCAGAACTAAGGTTTCTCTATGGAGCAATCACCATGACAATATCACAGACTCCAGTGAAGGCTACAACACCAGCTTCAAGGAGAAGTTGGAGCTCAACGAAGCTCTCCTCAGCTCAAGCTTAGAGCTACAGAGAATTCTGGCAGCTCTCCAAACGAGTTCGAGTTTGGATAGAATCAGTGAGAGGGTGGAAATCTCTACTCCTAGTTTAGGTCTGGGTCTGCTGCAGAATCCAGCTGATTCTGTTCTCCTGAGACCTGTAGTGGGTGCTACTTTGTGGGAAGCTGCTTCTTCTCCACCCATTGGAGCATCTGAAGAGCTACATGTCATCAGCAACACTTTTGATGCCCAGGATGACCTTTCGGCTATCTTTTCCAGCTGCAAAAATGGTAATGGATCCTTGGATAGCCATCAAGCAAGTGTGACTTCACATTGTTCTTCAAGGAAACCAAGTAGCAAGAGAAAATTCGACGAGTTCACGAGAATAGGAGAGAACTACCACATCCGCAGTCTCCTTGAATCGAATTCTTCCAGTAAAGAGGGAGGTTTTCAGATTAGCTTCACGAGGGGACAGAAGCTGGGATTCGTGCAGGAAGGCGACTATGAGATTGACAACGAGGCCATCGCGCAAGTGAAGGAGATGATCTACAGGGCTGCAGCTCTTAGGCCGGTGAGTCTGGTGGCGGAGGAGGCGGTGGAGAAGCCAAAAAGGAAGAATGTGAGGATATCAAGCGACCCGCAGACTGTTGCTGCAAGGCAGAGGAGGGAAAGGATCAGTGAGAAGCTAAGGGTTCTGCAAAGGCTGGTGCCAGGAGGCAGCAAAATGGACACTGCATCAATGCTCGATGAGGCTGCCAACTATGTCAAGTTCCTCAAGTCGCAGGTCATGGCCTTGGAAGCCATGGATAACAGCTGGTATGATTCAGTTAGCAGTACCACAGCAGCACGCACCCTTTCCACTGCATCTGAACCAGGCTTTTCCCATGCAACCTTTCTCCTCCACCCAAAACCCTAAACGCATGCATCGAAAAGGTGAGGCAAAATTAAGCCCTTAAAGACCCACAGTTCAAATCATTGTCTTCATCATTAGCTTGGGGTTTAGGGCTCATGAACTCATTCCTTTTTCCCATTTACGTGTGCTTTTCCCAACAAAAATCTTAAAACTAAATAACCTTCTGATCATTCAAGCGGCAGTGTTATATATGTTAGACAGCTTTTTCCAAATTGGCATGACTTCTTTTGATGCTCATAAAGCAGTCTGAGTCCAAAACACATCGTCATCATCTCCTTCATCATTAGCTTTTAAGTCTTAGCCTAAAGTCTCTTTTCTTTCACTGGCCTTTCCCATGCAAACCCTAAAGCAAGTTATCGTGCAGTCATGAGTGCTTGCTTTCTGCTTTTTAGGGAGCATGACTGTATGCTTTAAGCCCAGCTCTTCTGCTGCATGAAGGGTTCAGGAATCATGACACCTATGATTAAGAGCCCAAGGGTACCTTGATATGTGATCACCACTTCAACCCCACTCTTTTTCTTGGGTTGTTCAACCTTGTGCCTCTTAGCTTTCCTCGGAATCCCAGACCTTAAAGCTTTGGAGCACAGTGGCAGAGACATTCCCTCAGGGCATGTGGCACAGAGGAGTGTCCCCTTTAATTCGAGCAAGCGTGCCCTTGAGAAGGCCACCCAGATACTGGCAAGCACATGGTGGGGAAGAACAAGCACATGCCTTTGCAGTCATCCCTACCCCAAGTAGCTTTCTCTTTCCCAGTCTCTGTCACTGTGCAAGTCCAGTGGTGAACAAAGACTGCGAGTGAAACAAACTGTGATGTGTAGATTGATGGCTACTTGGATTGTCCAATCGAAGTGAGCTCTCTTTTCACTCATAGTTTTGTATTTCTGAGAGTAAATTTAATGAGCTGAAAAATAAAATGAGCCCAATTTGTCCTCAGTATTCTTCATAGCTCATTTATGTTAGAAACCAAATGTGGTGAAGAATTCTCTTCCTAATAGGGGCTTGCACAGTATTTCAGGTTATTTTCTCCAACATATAGTGCTTCTTACAGAGTTTGTCATTCTATTTTCCTCCTTAAATTCATGATTAATATAGTAAACATCAAAAGTATGCAATAAATAACAAATATTAGAAACAATATTCAGATAGACCAATTTGGTGCAGTGGCCCTTTTGATGCCTCCATCTTTGCCACTTGAAGCCCTTCCTACTGCTGCTACTAGTTTGCTTGAATGCAGTATCAGAACATAGAATTGACTCACCCTAACAGTAAAGGCATCAATTAAAGATAACATAAATGCCAATTCATTCTCCACAGCTGCTATGCAATATGAGAAAATAAAATGGATCAGCTTGGTAGAATAGAGAAGGCAATGCTTCTAACATCAGTGTCAGGATCTCTGCATGTTAGCAGTAGGGCAAATCAGAGGAGCATACCTTCAGTTTTCTTTTATTTAGTTTCATTTTGCAGGTGATGGTGTTGTCTGCTACACCATACAGTATATCTTCCACTTGGTATTAAATGTGGCAATATAATCTTTATTTGTGAGCAATTGTCCATTGGGCACCCTCAATCTAAGGTATGAGTCTCAGCTATATACTACAAGAACATCTGGTTAATGCCTAATAAATTAATTCTCCTACTTGCTATTCTTCAGTAATGAGGTTCTATTTGCAGTTAAAGACTTAGACTTCTTCTTCTGCAGCACTTGTTTGAAGATACTAAATTAGTGGACACCCAAATCATCCCTGAGGATGTAATCAAGTCCTCCAACCTAAATTGTTACATCAGTATTTATTTTAACCCATCCCTTCAGTGATTTTTCTCATTGATTAATAATAAGATTAGGTTTCTAGCATTCTTACTGAGGCATTTTGGTAAATAACCATAACATATATTATTATTAGTTATATAATAGAAAAAAATGGTAAGTAATAGACAAGGGCATTGTTGGTAAATAAAGAACCAAAGCCACGAGACCCACGCGGGCTACCAGCGAAGGAAAGCTGTCGAGGGCCGCGGCGCCAGCTGTCGTATCGGGTCGGATCTCTGGCTCATATTACCCGCTCCGCACAATTGGCTATAAATATCCCCTTTCTGTTTCGTACCATCGCCGCTTGTTCGACTCGTCTTCCGTTCGAGAGCTCTCCAAGAGGTTGCAATGGCGGCCTTCGGAGCCAAATCCCTCGCGACCTGCCTGCTCGCTGCGGCTTTCCTCGCCTACGGAGTGGCCGCCGCCGATGCTCCGGCCCCCAGCCCCGCCTCCGCGGCCGGCGCCCTCTCCCCGTCGCTCGCCGTCGTCGTGCTCGCCTCCTCGGTCGTCGCCCTCTTCGGTTCCCTCCGCCACTGAGCGTGCTCGACTCCAGCCTGGGGTATCTTGTATCGATGCTTTCAGAGGATTTGCCGGGGAGGGATTTGGGTCGTCTTTAGGGCTTTTCTCCTGATAATAATCATGATGATGATGCTTGATGGGTGTATACATATTATGGATCGTAGGATGAGTCGGTAGATATTGTGATCGATGTTCTATTGATTGTTCTGTTATTTTCCCCTTATTTCTGCTGATTAATCGATCCGTCGCTGTTTGCTTCCGATGGCTACAATGCTAATCTTTTATTCTTTGTGAATTAAAATGATCTAAACTGAGGGTTTCTTGATGGTCAATCATGCATCAATCCAGGAGGACCGATGAGTGAAGCAGCCAATCCAACTCCTCGGTTTCAATTGTCGGTATCTGCATCTGATGGCAAAGCTTGACACCCGTCTGACCAACATTGCATGTGGTGGTGACCAATATTTTTATATTTTCTGAAAATATTTTTTTTTTATTATAATTTTTAAAATATTTTCGACAAGATAACTGAAGCACGTCATACAATTCTCCTTAGTTACTAATTTTTTTTGTCTCTAAACTAATAAAAATATATATTTGAAATCATATTTTTATGTTGATTGTTGCATTGGCTTGGAGCCTAGGAATTGACATGTCGACTTAGTCTTTGACAGATGGTCATGAGTGTCGATAATCATCCACGCGTCAATTCCTGCATCAAACCTAACAAAGACTAAATATAAAATCATGAAGCAATGCAAGAACACCTCATCAATTAAAAATTAGGTATCAGCTAAAGTCGCACTTGTTCCATCTCACACGTAATCTGCCGTCTAATTATATATTATATTAACCCATATAATTAGACCTCTATATTTAAAAAATTTATATTGATCTTTATTTATCAATGGAAGATATAGTATGTGCATAGATAACATAAAAATTATAGGTAAAAAAATTATTTCAATGATAGCAGACGATAGCACTGTGGTAGTGCTCGACGAAAATGATATGATGGTTGATCTTGTTGATGTCGATATGAACATTAACAACGAGGAAGAAGAGGAGGTAGAGCATTAAGGCATCTGCGTTGGTACCAGAGGAGGAAAAGAAGGGAGGTGAGACATCTGCATCGGCGCCGCACTGCTCTACTTCCTTTTCATTCTCGTTGATCACCTCATTGTTCGGTGCAACACTGCACTATCTCCTCTGCATTGACATCGCATCACTTTGTTCTTCATTCTCACCAACCATCGTATCGTCAGAAGAAGAAGAAGAGAAGGCAAAGTAGTGCAACGTTGATGCAGATGCCTCACTTGCCTCCTCTTCCTCCTTCGACATACTCTGCCTTATCTTCATTCTCGTTGATCACATCACTATTCGATGTGATGTGATACTATCTCCTATATGTCATCGCCACACCACTCTATCTCTTTTACATTCTCACTAACAACCACATCTCTGGAACAAGAAAAGGAGGTAGAGTGGTGCGATGTTAACGCAAATGCTTCACCACTCTGCCTCATCTTCTTTCTCTTCATCGATATTTGAATCAACATCGACAAGGTTGATCATCACATAATTTTCGCTAACTACGACCACAACAACCACTCACGATTCTATCGTCTGCTATCATCATTGAAATTATTTTTTTCCCATAACTTTCGTATCATTCATGCACGTACTATCATATGTTGTTGATAAAACCAATGATATTAGGGTAAATGAGGTTAAATAATTTACTTTCATAACTATAAGGTTTTTAATATAAATTATTTAAATCTAGATATCAGGTTACTTTCATAGCGAAATATTGTCACGCAACAATTGGGCTCCATTATTTTTAGAACACAAGGTACGTAGGTCGACAACTAGGACAACAATTGCTTATACTTGTTTTGTTTTCTTTGGTAGGTTTCTGTGCGTGACCATGACATCCAATTTCTCTCATTTGAAGTAGAAGATACAGCCTATTAGAGAACACCGAAAGAGAAATTAAATTTTGGCTCTCGTTTGATGTCAAATTAGATGGCTTTGTCCGAACTGCAATAAATAATAAATAGAAGAAAGATGAACTACCGACTGAAGAAGACATCTTACCAAACTATTTCTTTTATCTTTGCTTCTCCGATAGCACATGTTTAGGTAGAGGCAGGTATTTACATCATCTAACCAAACCAATATCCTCATAACTAATTGACTGCAATCACTCCTCATGTCATTATTAGTTCAAGTTCACGCTATGCTATGCTATGCTATGCTCTTAACTTATTAAGTGTACTTAGTCATCGAATAAGTCATTGTTACTAATAATGATAGCTCGTGATCGAAGGAACTGTTGAACATGAGAGGAAGGAGGAAAGGAGCACATGTTACATGTTTTTACTATTGCTACCACGTGCGAGGGTCACAAGCAAGACATGTCGCAACCACGTTAATAAGATCAACAAAAGAAGGAGAAAAAGAAATTGATTTTTTCATGTGACTAGGAGTATTGTTTTGAAATTTTTCAAAATAGAGATGCTCTATTTTTTAAAAAATATATTTTTTTCAAAATTGACCTTCTCCGAAATTATCGGATGAGACTTAATGCATTCAAATTAATAAGTAGGTCCAATACATAATTATTTATTTAAAAATAATATACTTATGTAATTAATTTTTGATACAATATATATGTTTCCAAATTTTAAAATCATGTCCTCGTTAGTAAAAATAAAATCACTAGCAAGTAACCATGATTATCACTTGTTAGTTTGAATCAAAATTATTAAGAAGATCTTGCCATCATAACATAGCGTTTGAAGGATAACCTGTCAATCATACAATGATAGTTAATTAATGAAAATTAATTGCATATATATATATATATATATATATATATATATATATATATATATATATATATATATATATATATATAGCTTTGGTTGTTAATGCACGCCTAGAAGGTTGGGTCGGATCCAGTGTTCGGATCCGACCCATTATCATTTGGATCAGATGAAGCATATGTTATAATTCATGATTCGACCCGATTGAATTCGGACTTGTCTTTCCTTTACCGTACAAAGCAATGCAAGACTTCGATGGACTCACTTCTTCGACTTGATCTGACCTGACCCACTAATTACAACGGTCTGGTTTGAGTCGTAATCTAATTGAGGTCAGATCGAGTTCCGATCGATATCTAATTATACGAGAGGTTATCGCAAACCACGGCCGTAGCTGCTGTTGCTGCCGCTCCATGTCGCAGCTCATTTCGCTCTATCCGCCACCTGTTGGCGCCTCTACCTGCCTCCCTCCGCGCGTTTCCTCCTCCTCCTCCTCCTCCTCTCTTCCTATTCTCCACCTCTCGTCCTCTGATCGTGGACGACAACCCCGATTCCCCGCCATCGCTACCAAGGCTAAACCAAATAGGCGCGCCAAAACCCTACTAGAACCCCAAGAGGTCTCCGAGATCGGGGATGAAGACGACGTCGAAGACGAAGGAGGAGGAGTTGATGCTTTCCCTTTTGGTGATGGGTTTACGGCGGAAGAGGGAGGAGGTGGAGAAGAAAATAGCGAGGGAGACGAGGACGGGGTCTTGAATTCGTCGGGTGGGTACGGAGGAAGAGGCGACGGGAAGGATTACGACAAAGACCCCGAGCTGGCGGAGATCCTCGCCAGCTGCTTCGATGACCCCCAGAAGGCCCAGTCTCGAGTAACACTCACATCTTTCTCTTACTCTCGTCTTTGTTTCCCCTTCTTGTTGGATTTAGGGTTACATAAGTTTAAGAATAAGATCAAAAATCTCTTCGATTTTGGATTATCTATAATGTTGTTAGGTTGAGGAGAGGATAAGGAGGAAGAGGGATAAGATACTGCATTCCAAGACCGGCTCTGCTACGCCCATGAAAGTCACATTCAACAAGTAAGCCTCTGCCTTGCTTCCCATTCACGGGGAATGATGCTATGGTTTTTGGCCCGAGACATTTATGTATCTGTGGTTTCAGGGGTGATTTTATTCATGTGGTATCTAAACATTATTGCCTCTTCCTGGACTGTTTCAAACTGTTTTATTACATAGCTGAATCAAGCAAGGTTTAGAGATTAATATGCATAAAAAGTGTATGTAGCTGTACTTGTCTATTATTACGAGATCTTTCGTAGTATCATGGAAACTTCCCCCCTTAATATACTTACTGGTAGCATTTGTTTGCCAACAACTCAGAATGTAGACACCCTCTATCTAACAAAATCACCAAGATCAGGACAAAGAGAAAATCAACATTATATATCATAATCAATAAAAAAGTACAAGCAACTACAACAGATTTGCTCCATCAAAGTGTTTTGCCACATTGAGATGGAAGGCAGATTTCACTACAGAATTGTCATTCAGTTCAACTTCTTTTTGAAAGATCCATTAGTATCTCCTCCAACGATTCTTGATTCCAAAGAACAGTCCGATTAGATTGGGAGGTCTTGCTTACTCTGACAGTGATTGCAACATCTTCTTTTCGTTATGTTGAGGCATTCAAGATTTGAGCAGGACTAGCATAACCTCATTCCATGATTCCATACGCTACAGCTACAAAATGATGAATATTTGAATCTAGGTTTTACCCACATTTATGCAAAACAAATTCACCAAACCCATCTAGATACATTTGCTCCAAATTACCTTGGTTGACAGCTCGACAATGAGGTATAGAAGCAACATAGCGCCCATCAGTTGCAGATTCAAAATCTCTAATCTCTGCAGCAGCAATCCTGATAATATCAGCAACCAAACATTGATCATCATAAGAAAACTTGTAATCCTATTTTCCTTGATCCAAAACTGCAGATCGACAAGGTTTTAAATTGCTACTGTGCAAGCTAAGTACCATAGTTGATTGATAATGCAAAAAGGATTGACCCTGTTACATCATAGCCTGATAGACCTCAGTACAAGACATTCTGCTTAGAACTATCATATGCCCAAAATTATGAACTGAAGTGCTTGCTGGAGATTTTAGAAACTTTACTTTTTCTTGACCATATTGCTTCATTATGTTGCTCTTCTGTTTGCATCTTACATGACATCACATAATCCCCTCTTATACTACAATTCCATGTCGTGATTCTCAGTCTGATAATCTATTTATCGTGGTTGGTATATGCCAGGTTTCACTATTCAAACTCCTATATATGGTTTGAATTCTACAATGCTCCATTAGCAAAAGACATAACTTTAATCTGCGATGTAAGTGTAACGTCTGAGGCTTCTTTGACCTCCTCTTGTTATTTCTCAGCTTTAGCTTATTCATTCTTTGCACAGACTATTCGGTCTTGGCATATAGTTGGCCGCCTTGGTGGGTGCAACTCGATGAACATGCAGGTAGATGTTTGAACAAATGGACAGATATGCTTATTTACATGCATTTCTAGTTCTTGAGTATCATGAAAAGATTCGATGATTCATGCCAAACAAATAATGTAATGAAGTTAAAAGTGTGTGTGCTTGACAAGTATGCAGTTCTTTCATGCTTATCTTATTGCTTTTTTGTAGTAGGTGATTATAACACCAGGAACTTGACAGTTGAAGAAAGATGTTCAAACTCAGTAAATATTGAGACTTGTCTTCACTGCTTCTGATGATTTCTATGTAAGCCTATACTAGGAAAGTAGTTCTATGCCCCTGATTTTCCCAAAAGTTCTAATGCCTGAGTGTCTTGTAATTTATTGATGGTGTCTTCTAGTAAGGAATAATATAGATTCAGCTTCTTATTTCCAATGAACAATCAAGTTTGAAACACAAAAAGGAAAAAGGCATTTTTTTATCTCATCACCAAGCTAAACTTAGAGTCTCATATAAGACCAACAGTGTTAAATTTTTCTTTGTCCAAGTCATGATGTAGTTTTTGTAGTCTGTTAAGAAATGAAAAAGCCAAGCATCGTGTTAACACCATGGCGCATGGAGTTATAGTCACCGTAACCAAAATTATGAAAGTTCATATATGTCCGATGGAGACTATGTTGACATTTGAAACCTCACATTATAGCAGGCTAGCAGCAACTAAGACATAAAGATAGTGTCAGTGAAGTTTTGCTCTCTGTTACTTTAAGTTCATGAAGTTGTCTGAATCTTACTAATCTGATTCATGGAGATGTAGCTTAGCACATAAATGTGCACAGTTATATTGATGATGATTTGGTCATGTCGTAATTATACGAAAGGAAGAAAAATGAATCATTCAACTGGTTCCAGAATTTAACTAGTCAAGTAAGTTGCCATTATAGCAGCTAAACGTCGAAAAGCTACCTAAATATGGAGTGATTCAGTAACTTGAGGTTTAGGAACATAAGCTCGATATGTGAAAGAAGAAAACAGGTTGTTCTTATAATACAGAGCCACACAGGCAAAAACTGTTTTATGTTATGTAAAATCATTGTTGGTTATTGCATTTTCATTATATGGGCTAAATTTATTATAGCATCATTTTTGTTTTCCATTCTATGCAGTTATCACAAGCACCTCTTGAGAGTAAAAGACCAAGTTATGATGCTATTCAAGGAGCAAACATTACCCCAACAACATTTTATAACATTGGGGATCTCGAGATCCAAGACAATTTGGCACGGATATGGTAAATCTCATTGATATCTTTGCTATTTTCTTCAAGTTCTAGAAAATCCTTCTCAGCTAAATTCTGCAATGTTCCCACAGAATCATAACTAGGTTTTCGCTTATTTTGCTATGATATTCACAGGGTAGATATCGGTACAAGTGAACCATTACTTCTGGATGTACTAATTAACGCGTTGACCTGCATAAGCTCAGAGTAAGCTCCGTGGATCTCTATTTTCTTCCACTCTATATGTGTGAAGCATTTAAGAAGCTTTGTACTAGTTCTCTTTTCTGTCATACGTGATATTTATGTTCTGTTAATACTGTTCCATCCATCGATTTCACTGCCATTTTTTTCCTAAGCATGTTAAAACCCCATCTTTGCAAATTTCATGATTGTCGAATGCATCTTTCACCAAAATTGACGTCCGTATTCATTCTTGGCCAGTTATGTCGGGATCAAACAGGTGGTCTTTGGAGGTTCAAATTTTGAGAATTGGAAGGAGAACTTGACATCAGAGGATGCCGGTTACAGCATCCACAAGATCTGACTTGCGTTCAATGGAGGCGATTGGCCATGAAATATTTTTATAATATAGATACTTTGTTGTTGTTTGAATGACAAACATATAATCCTGTGATCGGAGGTTCTTCAGACTAAAAAAGAGGAGTACAGTTTCTGTCTACAGCACATTTATCAGCCACATCTCTTGCTTAGTGATTGATAAACTGTGTGAAAAAGCATTTGTAATTGTTTCAGCTTTGTGTATTTGTTGTGATGTGTGGTCTAGAAAAATGAGATGTGGATATATATACATGTCATCGTCTCGCATACCTATTCAAACTGGTCATCAATCAACACATAAGATTGATTAGCCTTGCCTATTTCAGTTTTGGAATTATGGTTCTGATTGTTGGTCTAAGTTTCAGAATTATGGTACTGATATTGTCAAATTTGGAATCGATTTTGGTTTTAATTATATTTCAAACGATTGGTTTTGGATTCAACTGTTTTGATTGATGAAAATAATAATAAATTACTCTCTATCGAGATACAAATTCAAGTCATAAGTTCGTAAATATTAAGTAATCAGTTTGGAACCTTTCAAATTCTTGGAATCAGAATCGAACCGTATGATGTCGATTCTGGTTTGATTTGGTACTGTTAAATCGTTCGATTCCAGTTTCAATCATTGTGTGTGGGTCCTTTCGATAACTCTTTTGCAATAGAATGGTAGCCTAAGAGAGAGACTCATTAACTCAGGAAGATCAACGACGAAGGAAGGATATTATTGCCTCATATTTAGTTCTTATATAGGAGGCTTTTATTGGTCGATTGCCAAGAAACCACCGTCCGCTTTTATTGGTCGATTGCCAAGAAACCACCGTCCGCCTATATCAAACTATTATAGAAAATGAATCGATACATCATCGTGAAATCTCTTAAGAGTAGGAAAGAGAAAAATAGAGAAAGAAGAAACTGACTAAGAAAGATTGACCCTCTCGATTGCTTGCCGGTAAACATGTCACGAGTCGTCAAGATTAAGGATTCAGTTATTCTCTGAGGGATTCAGTTATTCTCCTCGACTCTCTCCCCAAAACCCTCTCCCCAAATCCATCAATCTGTGTAGGTCCTGTAAAAGGATAGGAAGAGATGAGAAATGGTCTACTCTCCTTGCACTCCTTCAGATTGCATGCGATTGGATTAAAGACGGTGCTTGCAGCTATTTTGGATTAAAGACGGTGCTTAGCAGATCAACGGGATCTCTGAACATATGACATCAAAAGGTACGCATCGTATAATTAGATCTATGCATTGATTTCAATCCTGGCATATAGGTTATTTCCGCATTATTGACATAGCAAAACTACAGATCTTTATGCTTACAATTGGTATCAGAGCCCGGTTTTTGAAATCATGCATTAGATCTGTAAATTAATTTACGATGCATAATTACCTTTATCTTCCAAGAAATTGACTTAGCAA